ACGAAGAGAGGTGTCAGACTCCCTTATCATATTTTCTATACCAAAAAGTGCCTTTAAATGATTATTAATTAACAACCTTTTGTTGTTGTACCTGTCGCATAGAAGGCACCATGCAGCCATATAGTTATCAGAACAAAATTCAATTGATTTAATCACCAATGCAGCACTACCCTCCAATGAGGACCTCAAATAATGAAATTTATTTATGGTATTTATACTGTCATTGCTATGAATTAACGAAATGTAAGTATCTCTATATTCCAACCACTTACTATAACATCCATCAAACATGGGCAACTTGATGGTAGGAAGAGATATATTATTATTTACTAGAACATTGCCTGTATTATTTGATTGATTGACAACTGTGTCTGATAAACTTTGCCTCCTATTTGCAATGATACTCGCTTCCTCTATGATAGATTGGGAACTAGACATTAAAGAAAAAAAATCATTTTCCATGGACTCCCTCTCATTGAGTTGATCAGAAGAATTGTCACTTAATATTTCTATTTCGGTTTGTAGATTATCAAAGGCGGATAAACTATTTTCTAATTTATTTAGTCTTAATTTTAATTCTGAAAGTTGCTGCGTAGTTAATTTATTTATATCAATTTGCCGAATAATTTCTAAATAATTCTTAAATATTGTTAATTGACCTTTTAGACAACTGCGCCTTTTGACGAGCTTATCAAGAGCTTCTGCCATAATGATGTGGGAAATAAGAAATCAGAGGAAATAAATTATACAATACTAAAAACTAAGTAAATACCTCGAACTGCTTCTCCGAAGGATCCTCTCACCACTCACCAGGTGTGATATGTTATAAAATAGCTATTAATTTGTTTATTCTTTCCAATGATGCATCAAATTATATGCTTGGTACATCCAATAATCGGTGAAAGGCCGGTGCAGTTGTTTAAAGTTTGACCTGGAATTTACAATATTTATATACAACAACTACAAAAAATATACTTAACCTGAAAGAAAATGATAAACCTTTATGCAAATTTCAAAAAACTAAGTACTTATATTTTTTTTTTTTTACTTTGCGAAGGTAGGTAACTATTATACGCGTTTGCAAATTACTGCCTTTTCTACCTTTATACTCTTATTTTTATTATCTACTATGCACAATAACACTTATTCGACGTTACTCGTCCAAAAGAACTAGGGGATGGATCTAAAAGAAAGGAATAGGAACGGGCTCACCAATTTCTATCCCAGACCAGCAATCTTCCTTCCAGTCTAAATCCTGGTCACGGCACCACTTTTCCTGTTAACTCCAGGAAATAATAATCCCAATCTTGATTCGTTTACAGGCATTTAATCTTCAATAAAGATAATTACAGATTTGCTAATATTAATAAGTATAATGTGTATGCAATCAAAGGAAGCGAGTACAATTTTTTTTGTGTCTTGTCTTCTCTCAAGCCGTTATAATAAAAAAACCATTGTTGCCGACAACGCCCGTCGGCAGCCGTCGTGATCATTCGGTAGTGTTCGGCGGTTCGCGTATTTCCCGCGCGTAGTTCAAGCGCGAACACATTACTTACATTATATTAAATTATAAACGTAATAAGAATCTTATCAAAGTAAATATGGGTATATATAAAGATATATTCATATTATATATATTTATATGTATATTGTCCATAATATACTTATAATGTAAAAATCCATATTGAATAAATGCAAAAAAAACACATTCACATAAACATAAGTGTAAGTACCAGAGAAAACTTATTGAAAATAAACACATTGAGTTTGGAACATCCCGTCGGGGAGTATTTTCTATTAAAATTTTCTTTACATCTTAACATCTAGCAGTCCAATCTTCAAAGATATTAATAAAATAGTGTGAAACTTGCCGTCCTCTCCTAACCTGTACCATGCTTATAATGGGTCAAAGTAATGGGCATCTAGCCTTCTGAGACACCGTGAGAACTGCGCGTGCGACAGTTCGTCAACGATAAACTTGTTCTACAGCGTTTGCTATCTCGAAAGTTCATAATCGATCGAGCTTATAGCTACTTATGGTACGCTCCTTGTCGTCGTTATTATAAACCTTTATCACCACTTAACATCAGGTATGGTACCAAGAGCTATTTGCCTACCTAGCTATGTACAAAAAAACAACGAAATCCATTAGAACGGCATCGAATAATATTACAAAATTATTGCAAGAGTGGAACCGCGACAAAATTTATAAGCCGAGAAATTATTGTTTACCGAATATTCAATTACTCACTGAGGGATATATAATCAATTTATAACTACCTACCCAATTAATTAAGAAAATTTTGTGAAATAATAGGGTATTTGACAAGTTTTAGAAAACGATCTCACGTTATTGACTAATATTTATGGAGTCCGTAAAGAGAGATTTTCATCATTCTGTTGTATATTTCAGTAAAAATAACCAAATAAAGAACTCCATTTTCAAGTTGCCGCGAAAACGTTTCTCTGGACAATATGGCGTATTACAAGTGTGTGACGTCACACGACTGTTATTAAAACGTCAAACGATATAATGTAATGTCACTTTAACCGAAAGTTTACTTGCGTCTGACGTCATTTTAGGCTCCGCCAATCCCAAGCGTTTTGGGTCACGTGACAATAGATAAGAAAACTATTATTTTTTTCTGGGGTTTTTAGTAAAATTATGATTATTTTTTTGTAAAAATAGTAAAAACCCCTGCCAATATTCATTCTAAACACAGATGCTACAAATGGCACTTTATTTTTAACACTGTCAAATACCCTATTCTCTTGCTTTATATTTATTATGAGCATTCAGTTAATTATTTATTCAGCGTGTGCCTGCCAAGTTTTCTAATTACGAGTATGTATAAAAAAATACTAACCCTTTTATACTTTACGTGCATCTACAAAATATAACCACGCAAGGCGAATGTTTTTCCAAGTAATTTCAAATTAATAGTTGCTAAATGTACATGGCATCATTAAAATTCTATTTAAAAACAGTTGCGCTGCATGAACTTAGTCAAAACGTGTCAGTTGTTATTATGTGGATTGAAAGCAGCACAGTATTATTTAGGCCAGTCTCGCTTCCGTCATTCGCTTCCGGAATCAGCGGACACAGCACAATAGCTCTGGCAGGTGTAGTAGCACGGTAATGTTATATTAATAGGCATTAGTAATAGCAATCGAGCTCATAACCATAAAAGGAGTTTCAGTGCAGGCTATCAATTGCGTGATAATAAAAACTTTTTAATAGCAAGGAATAATTTAAAATGGAAGTTGTTGAAACACTAAAAGGAGTCTGGAGCTCTATTTTTGAATCACTCGCCTTGCGTCGAACGCTCGATTTCTACCAATTTTCATTCGACATAATTAATTCCGTATTTTTGAATCGCTCGAATGCAACGAATGGGTACCACTCATTGCATGGCGAATGAGGGAGGCGAATGATAGAATAAATGTCATTTTTTATGATATTAGACGACGATAATCTATCCTTGTCATGCTTTATATAAAACGACAAGGGTAGACTGATGTTATGTTTCTTTTTCTTTTAATACGACATGACGGCTAATACATGTCAAGTTTACAAACAGCAATCACGAATAGCTAAGTGAAGTGCCGGCATAGTAAACGACAGTATACAATTGTATTAATTAACGGTTTTTATTTTTTCTGCGTGAAATGAGTAAAATTTTATATTTCGTATTAAACTGTTAACACCGGTGACGATTCGAAGAAACTTAAAATCAGTATCATACGACTTGAAAGTCGAAGGTGACATAAGTCGCATGCGACGATACTACGTCAGACGAGTGATTCAAAAATAGAGCTCCTGATCAGTGAATGAATGAAAGTAGAAATGTTGAGGTATTATTTTTTTTGGAGTGTAAGTGTGTGTGTATCTGTGCTTATGTATAATTATGTGAATGTGTATCGTATGTATAGGTATGTGAGTGTGTATATGTATTAATGTCTTTCTACATTTAAAAGCTCCTTGGAGTTGCTTGTTTGTTCATTGTTTGTATATTGTATTTTTATTTTATTTTTCTCATGGCTGTTACTTAATTTATTCGTTGTCATATAATTAATCATCTCCGATGTACACTTACTATTTTTAAATTAAGGGAAACCTGTAATTGGCCATACTTAACTGTAAAATAATATCTGGTATTTGTTGATGTATACGCTGTTGGTTTTCTTAATAAAATAAAATAAAATATCTTTAGACAAATCAATATTTTGGAGTCGGTGCCAGTTCCAGACCAACGCGCATGTAGTAAATGGGAGTTGATCTGTATGGCACCGATATTCATGTGCCTAAAGATAAAAAAGGTTTAAATTTTTTTACTTTTCGGCGGTTTAATTCTTTTGTTAGAGTTTTTATTTAATATTTTTTGGTGATTATATTTTTTGTAATATACAACTCGGCATCAAAATCTGTGAGTGAACATTTATCCCTATTTTCCCACCTTTAGGGTAAGATTTTTGTTGCTTAATTAATAATTTATATAGGACCAGCTTCGGGGTATACCCTTTCCAATAAAAAAATAATTTTCAAAATCGGACTACTCTGTAAAAAGTTATGCTTGGTCATAGATAAAAAAATATATAATACTAGCGGACCCGACAGACGTTGTCCTGTCTACACGTCTTTGTGAATCTAAACCATTCTCAGATCCCCTTGAACACACACAATAAATTTCATCAAAATCGGTCCAGTCGTTTAAGAGAAGTTCAGTGACATACACACTCACAGAAGAATTATATATATAATATTACGTGTCGAATTGAGAACCTCCTCCGTTTTTTTCGTCAGTTATAAAGCAGGTTGTTTTAGTATTTATGATCTTCTATATTACAATATTGAATTATGATTTGTAATGTCCCAGATAAATTATATAATTGTGGCCGCTGTATCCATAGATATGGGATGTACTTTTCACCGCTATCTATTATTCTTCTTAATTAAGTTTAAAGTTAAACTTATTGTTTTTCCATATTGTATTATACAGTTGGACGAGTGCACCGACGCGGAGCAGCGACGTCGACTGCGCGCACGCATACGTAGCCTGATGGCCGAACAAGAAGGTAATTCCCAGACGCCTCTCATAATCAAACTTTCTTTGTTCAAATTGGATGAAAATACATTTTATTAACATTCCAAATTTTTTTTTCCATTCTCGTTAAGAAATCCGACAGCGCACAATGAACCGATCGGAGACTTAACGATCACACCGTATTGTCCCATGATTCATTCCAACAAATAATTATCATCAATTATTATTTGAGGAGCTCGATGGCGCAAGTGGTTAGCGCGTTCGGCTGCCATCGTTGAAGTTAAGCAACTTTCGCAATGGTCGGTCATTGGATGGGTGACCAAAAAATTTACTATCTCGAGCTCTTCCGTGCTTCGGAAGGCACGTTTAGCCATCGGTCCCGGCTGCATCTGCAGTCGTCAGCACCCACCAATCCGCACCGGGCCCGCGTGGTGGGTCATGGCCCAATCTCTCCATTCCATCCGTAGGGAAGGCCTGTGTTCCAGCAGTGGCGACATAAATAGGCCGATGATGATGATGATGATTATAAAGCCGCTTCTACTCTCATGTGTCACGTTCCAGCATGCGCGACCGCCGTGACGGAGGCGTTAGCGGCGGCCGGCGAGACGGTGGAGGGCGGGGACGGCGACGCGCGTGGTGAGTCCCTCCTCCTCCCGCTGCTGCAGGGGCTGCTGGGCGGCGGCGGCGAGCGGCTGCTGGCCGGGCTGGGGGCCGCCGGGGCCGACGTGGTGGCCGACGTGCGCCGCTCCCTGGGCCGGCTGCGGGCCGCGCTGGCCCCGCCCACTGCACACCCGCAGGCGCGCGCGCTGCTGGCCCTCGCCGACCGGCTGGAGGACGCGCTCGCGGCCGCAGACCGCCTGGACGGGTGCCGCCGCCGCCCGCGCCGCCGCAGCCGCGCCGCCCGACACACCGTCGGCGTCACGCACGAGGAGCTCGCGCAGGCGCGCCGCCTCGTCGACCGCGACCACCTCGCCCTCGACGACGATCCGCCCCAGCCGCAGCCGCAACCGCAACCGCACCAGCCCCTTCCCGACTCCTCCTCCTCTGCGAGCGTAGAGGAGGCGCCGACGCCGGAGCGCAAACGGAGCGTCGAGAGCGAAGTCAGCTTCCACGATGCGGTGGCGTCCCGCCAGAAGCCCGCCCCGATCGCGCACTCGGCGAGTTTCGTCGACACCCCCAAGGTGAACAGGGAAGCGCGCATGGTCGAGAGGAGGGCGCCGGCCGCGCGCAAGCCTGATTTCTTCAGACATTCGATAGCAGACGCCGCCCAGACGCGACCCCGCGACCTTCAGGAGCAACAACCGCAGGTCCAGCAGCCGCAACCTCAGTACCAACAGACGCAGCCCCGATACCAGCAGGGGCAGCCTCCCTACGAGCAACCGCAACCCCAGTACCAGCAGCAACAATCTCAGTACGCGCAACTGCAGCGTTCCCAGCAACCTCATCAACAGCTACCTCAGCAGCAGCAGTTCCAGGCTCAACAGCAACCGATAACTTCGTATCGCCGACCCTCCGATACTAGAAGCGGCATAGCAAAGTTAGCTAACAAATTTGATAACCAGACCAAAGAGATAGCGCCGTCGTTTCCGAGACGAGCGCCGGTTGAGCGACGTCGATCACCACCTCCGGTTTCCGCTCCTACGATCTCAGCTAAGCCCTTGCCTCGAGAAGAACCCAAACGTGCTCCCCTGTACAAACCTCTCCCGCCCGCATATAATTTTGCAGCACCACCACCCGCGGAAGATTTTTCGAAGCCACTAAATCGATTTGGTAACAATAAACGTGCACGCATGAAGCGTGCAAATACTATAGATATAGGTAAACCCCTCGGTGGATACAGAATGGACAGTGACACAGACGAAGACTCACGTGGACCCGGCATACCAAGGTTTCAGCCTCAGACAGAGAACGATAAAAAATTTGTTGCATTTATGCGGAAAAATGAAGAGAATCAAATCCCAGTTAACGGTCAAACAAACTGGAGCAATCGCTTCGGTAACATCAAAAATGCATTCGAGAGTCGTGATCGTGAAGATCACAGCCGATCCTCTAGCAGCTCCTCTGCTCGTCGCTTCTGGCGAACAGCTGACGAATCGCCATCTCCTTCCGGGCCTCGATCTCAAAAATTCAATGATGTCACTAATTCTAACATCGTCAAGCCCCCATGGGTAGGGGAACGCAGGGGATCGAGGCCTAATGTCGCACCGCAGGTTCAAATCCCACCTCCTACACAAATATTACCACCGAGTCTCCCACCGCCGGTACCGCAGCCACCATCTAGACCGGTTCTAGTAAAACCGTTCGTTGCAAAACCGATTCCGGTAAATCAGTTTTCACACGCGCCCATGTCGGCGTTTAAACCGCCAGCAAAAATCACTTCACCGATAAGTACGCCGCCGCATATTTGGAGCCCACCATCGTTAAGTAACACCGTCTCTCCGACGACTGATGCACCTCAACCTACGTATAATATGGTTTCGAAAACAATTCCTAGCCCACCAATAGCTCAATGGTCAGCAACCGATTATGAAAAGCCCAGAAAATCAATCACTAAATTTGACGTCCCTCCACCGCCTTCTTACAAGGACCGTCAAGTACCTAATAATCTTCCCACGCCGCCGACTCACGCGCACCCACAAATACCAAATTATCCAGTAAAGGCTATTCCGAGCCAGAATAATTTGACAGCGCCGAAATTAGTGAAGAAAATCGATGAATCAAAACCACATGAAGTTTCCGTACCATACGTTCCCAAAGTTGACGCTCAAAAACTGCAAATTGAATTTTATGAAAAGCAAATAAGGGAGCGACTACGCACCGAACATATGACGAATGGCCATAGTGACCATGTTGAGCCCTCACAACGTAAGCTTCCCGCACCCCCTGTGCTTCCCGCTTACACCATCACGGACTATACTCCTAACAACGTAATATCTACATTCGTTCCGTTGCAACAGACGCCCGATATCGAGAAAGCGAGAGCACATAAAGTCGATTACCTTCCCGATGTTGTGATGAATGAGGGTGAACGCAACGATTTCTCTCGCTCTCCCATCACACAACTAAATCAGCAACCGGGGCACCGCCCGCACGGCAGTCCTTATTCCGCAAACAAAGCGCCGCCCATCCATCAAAACGGTGACACGAACCTCGTGGAAGATGACGGCCTGACCACTGAGCACGGCAGCGTCGAGACGCGTGTGATGCGCGGCCCAGTGCGCGGAGCGGCCACCATCACCGCAGGCGTGCGCACGCGCAACGACGAGCACCGCCGAGGCGGCGCCGCAGACAATCTCAAAGGCGTGCTGAATAAAATATCATCACCGAAGCACGATGTTATCAGCCAGATAGAAAAGAAAAAGAGGGAGAATGCTAGAAATCAGGTACGGGCCCCTGTACAGAACGGTGTATCTCCCCTGCACGTCCCCCCGAACCCCCGCCCGCCCCCCGCCATAGAGCTCGGAAGCGCCCCCCCGTCCCCCGCGGGCGCGCGCAGCCCGGCGCTCGGCGCCTCCCGCGACTCCGTGCTGTCCAGCGACTCCGCGCCCAGCGCCGCCTCCAGCCCCCTCAGCAGGTCGGGATCCTGGCACCAACTCCAAGAACGAACGCAGAAGTCTTCATCGCCGAGGAAAGTGGTCGCACGCGCCAAATCCATGCACTTGCTCGCAGTGCCGAAGCTTTTCGAGGGCGGCATCCCCCGCGAAGAACTCACGGAGAAGAAAAAGACGGTAGAGGCGTACTTTTCCCAGCGAGCGCCCGCCGCACGGTCGCATCAGACGAGCGCGGTGCGCGCGCGGGTCGCCCGCTCGCAGACGCAGTACTCGCTGGGCCGCAGCCGCACCATGCCCACGGTCTCGGAGCTGCAGTTCCTCGACGAGAGCAACGCCGACGACGCGTTCGAGGACCTGGTGTCGGCGCTCGCGTAGCGCAGCGCGCACATTCCACTAGTTAGGAGCGGAGACGAGCGAGACGCGCGTGAGTCGTGTGTGTGTGGGCTGCCTAACGCTTGTGTCGCGCCCCGTCCGTGCCCGCATGCCCCCGCGCCGCCGCGCATCCGCGGCCCTGTCACCCCTCACGTCGTTGTACATATAATGTTGTGTTACATCCGTATTCATTTCACCGATTCCTATAACAGTGTTACTTTGACTAATAGCTTTTAAGTATCATTTTACGTCTTTTGGCTGTTGTTTTCCATTCGTGCTACCTAGTTAGAATATCGTTTGATTCGAATATCTGAACGCATGACAGCAATGGATTTATTTCGTTTACAGAGGAAGAAGAAGTGACCACTGTGACATCGAGCGTGAGGAGGAACTCGTCGGAAAAAACCATTAGCAGTAGCACTACTACTAAAACTACTAAAGGTATGATTATTCTCGTGACATCTTTAACACCCAAACAATACGCAACGAGACGCATCAATAGAATTGAAAAAATAATTTAAAATCTCCTCGTTCTCGGCAGTTATCGAGAGCATGACTCGGCCGGCACCGAAGCCCGTGTCGCCATTCACTAAATTCCGACAGCTCGAGAGGCAAAACTCAACTAACAGTCCCAAGTAAGTGATGGACCTAGCTTTAATAATATAAAGATAAGAAAATATAATCATGGAAGAACAAACCACCACGACTTTTTCTAATAATATATCCAAATATCGTAAACACAATAAAACAGCACTCGAAGATTATACAAAACAATGTTATATTAAAACTTCCAGCTTCGTATATATTTTAATACAGTATATTTATTTATTTTTAGCAGCGATATCTGTGGATGCGAATAAGGAATAAATACAAGTAAATATTAAAATTCAGTATATACGTATGCATTTATAACATATACCTATCATAGTCGCTTCATTGCGTTATTTATTCGTGCATACATATTTTTAATTATAATAATTTCTCCGATGAATAAATATGTGCGATGTTAACTTAAATAATGTTTATGTCCTCTTCAATGTAAAACATGGGAATTTTTAGTAAATAAATTCATATTGTCACGAATCGCATGTACTTATTCTGTTTCTCGCAAAAATGGTACGAAATTCTATTTAAATCGAGCCCAACTGGAACGTCCAAACATATAACACGCGCTGTCTTGTAAATAACCAACGACATTATCATAACTTGCACTCCCGACAAGCACACAACATTGATAGCGCACGTACTAATTGCGTTTGCGTCTTCTACATGCCAACACATGGCTGCCAACTCTAGACAACTAGCCTATACTGATCGCGATAACTCAACGATAACAAAAGAGCATCTAGCGGAAAAGGATGCTAGTTAACGAAGCCGCAAAGTAGGCAGCCCTAAACATGCAAGCTGGTGTCGAGCCGCATGATTAACATAAGCCCCGGTTGTAGCTCGCCCAAGACGCCGCAGAGCCCGGGCTCTCCGTCGCAGCCCTTGTTCAAGTTCACGGATCCCGCGCTGCAAGCCAGCGCTCTCACGATAAAAGAACGATTGCTGCAATGGTGTCGCGACAAGACCCGGGACTACGAGGTACACTCCACACCACCGCCCCTCGGATAATACCCCACTATGTTTTTCACACAAATATTAACTTCAGGTCCCCTAGCAGGTGCACTGCGATATGTCACGTCTTTATCACATCCAACTGTCAAACTTCTTAATGAGTGTTAAAACAATTGAGTGTGATAAAAACATGATATAAATCATATCGCGGTGCTCATGCTAGGGTAGTTTGTTGATAATAATGATACTGAGATTACCACATATTATGATATCGTCCAGGTATTCAAGCGTAACCACAAATTTGAGTGCTTATTTGTAATATTATTGGTAAAAAAGACATTAATATTCTTGATAAGGGCGAATTGCGTTTTAGTGTATTAAAACTTAATGGGGTATTGTAATTTATCAGTACACTAATGCATATTATTCAGATGAACGCATTTGCTAAAATCTAGTTACTGTATCCAAAGGTTTTATTTTTATGATGATGATCAATATGCATTAGTAACTGGCGGGCGCACGGATGTGTCGCAGATGTTGTTCGCGTTATCGGTTTCGTAGCATGTCAAGCGGCCGCTGCACACACGCACTGAGCATTAACACCCGGTGACGTACTTACACCAATCACGTACCACGCTTCACCTTATGCTTCAATTTTGGTTTCAATTTCTTCTATATATAATCAACTATCTGTATATATTTACTATGCGTTCAATAACATTTATTATATTTCTTCATATTCGCTACCCCCGTTTTTAATTATTTTGTAACTATGACCAATATTTTTTACCACCAATATACTTCAATTTTCTAACTTACCTAATTTATCACGTACCCATTAGAAAAGGTATTTGAAAAACAAATTAATATGAGTGGACCCATGTCATTCAGATTGAGTGTGTATTTTAGAGAATAAAACAAGTAACTAATAAACAGTGTTAATTTCATTTTGATAGCATGTGTTTGAATATAAATAATAAATATAAATAAAATATGATTAATTAGCGTAGCAATCAATGTGAAGAAACATAAAGAAGAGTTATTCCCGCTTCGTCTATCCTATCCGATATTTATATTACGAGCAAGACGAAAAGGGAATAATTCAGAAATGCATGATGTTTTTGTTTAATGTCTTTATTTAAAGTAGGTATAATGAGGTGTATGAAACCAATACATGTACATTGAATGTAAATAGATCACCTCACCTCCTTTGTATGAATCCCATTAGCACAGAAATTGTTTGCAAACGGTAAATAAACACAAGGGTAAATAAAATTATAATTAATCCAGCACTAGAATACCAAAGATAGGAACCACTCAAAACTAATGTTAAGTTATAATTTTTATTATTTTTAAAGCATGTAACTGCTTGATGTTTAAATCTAAAGAAAATATAACTAGAAAAAATTCCACGCGGACCAGGCAGCAGACGGGACTCGAACCCGCACCTTTCGCAATCCGGGCGAATGCACTGACCAATTATGCTACCGCGGCCCTCACGGACCGCGTCGAAATTCTTTCTAGCTATTCTTAAGCTGCAAGGCAGCGCCATCTCTTCGCATTATAGGTAAACCCACAATGTCAAATGAATACTTTTACAAGTATTAAACATTTGAAAGAAGAAATAGCAATTATAGTTATAATTTTTATTATTTTTAAAGCATGTAACTGCTTAATGTAATGTTAAGTTTACAAAATTATTTAGTTTTATAATGGTGTCAATTCTGGCGTGATTCTCTAAACTTTAAACTAAATTTAACATCAATCTCTCGTTTTCATTCCGTATAGAGAATGACAAGGATACACTGTTGTCAAATTTAAGATTAGGTTTAGAGAATCTGTCAGAATTGACACCAATGTAAATCAAATTTTAATTACCACGATGAGTTAATGTTTTAAATTGCGGTCAACAAGTCATTAGGGTTTCTAAAAAATATTGCTCCAAAAAGCCTTTAAATGTTTGGGATAAAGTAAAATTACAAATGGAAATCAAAACGGTTAACTATTCTTGTAATTATATAAGACTGTGTTTTTTACACAACCACCCCATTTAATAATACATAGTGAATTTTGAGTTACCCGAGAAACTTAAAAATCGTGTAAATAAACATCTCGTGAACAGTTGTAAACACAGTTGTGTTATGTTTTACACTCCCATCGTAAAACAGCACAAAATTGTAACTAACATAACTATTATAGAATTATTATCCGTTTAAATTACACAGATCCTAAAAGTAGTTCTATTTGAATCAATATATAACAATTAAAATGGTGAAGTTTCATCATTGCAGAAATAGCGAGTTAAAGTGGAGACATTTTCTGAAAAAAGATATATCAGACATTTTTTTTTTGTGGAAATAGAATCAAAATCGTAACTAAGTAGTATAGTAACTCAAAATTCACATTGGTGTCGATTCTGGTGTGATTCTCTAAACTTAAAACTAAATTTAACATCAATCTCTCCTTTTCATTCCCTTAGAGAATGACAAGGATACGCTGTTGTCAAATTTAAGTTTAGATTTAGAGAATCGTGTCAGAATTGACACCAATGTCTACCTAGGACATAATAATATTTTTTTACCGCTAATATTTAAACTCATCTCAATCAACTTTTTATGGAGTTTCTCCAATGCCATATCAAATGCCGAAATGGCTAATGCTTTGATTAATTTATGGGTTATAACGACTGTGCCACAGATTTGGATATTTCCGTAGGTCTATACCTTTTGCTATTGGATACGCTTGTGGCTAAGTGTGTGCGTGTGGTGTTGGCAGAATGTGAAGCTGGAGAACTTCTCGACGAGCTGGGCGGACGGGCTGGCGTTCTGCGCGCTGCTGCATCACTTCCTGCCGAACGCGTTCGACTACTCCAAGCTGACGCCCGAAAAACGCCGCGCCAACTTTACGCTCGCCTTCAAAGTTGCTGAGTATGTTGTTTGTTCCGAATAACAAATAGTTTACAATGTGTTTTAATAGCGAAAACGTTACCAGTAAGAAATATAGCAGATGTTAAAATGAGTTGTCATCAAATTCTTGGATGAATTAAATTTATTACAAATTATCAGATTATATCGACTTTATTGAAAGGAATTCTCTATCAAGTTTTTATAAATCTAGAAAAGGACTTTATCCAACAACAAAAAAAAAGGTTTAAACCTTTTTGTAAAAGATATAACTACCTGCCTAACCTATATCAAATTTCAGCTTATATGTATAATTTGTGGTGTATTTGTTCCAGTGAGAAGGCGGGCATATACCCCCTGTTGGACGTGGACGACATGGTGGCGATGCGCAAGCCGGACTGGAAGTGCGTGTTCACGTACGTGCAGTCCATCCACCGCCGGTTCAAGGACCAGCAGTGACGGCTGCCTCGCCCAGCGGCCGCAGCTCGCAGTAGTCGAGCGTGTCACAGTCACAAACTATGTTATCCTATGTTATTCCTGATGAAGTATAATTACGTCGTGTCCAAAGAGCGTATGTTGTTGAATTTGATCGTTTGTTTGTTTATTGTTTGTCAGATGTTTATCGTCAGAGTTCGCCCGACTCGTCGTTTCTCCGAGCGCTGTCTCGTACACAGTCCTCCTATTTATTGTATAATCTCAAGATGTATGTGATTTCTTTTTATATTAGCACGTAAGTTTTGACTAACAGTCGGACCGCGACCGGTCGTAGTCTGTAGATTCTTTGTATATGCGTATTTTCCGCTATCGATTCGGGTCGTGGAACAAACGGCGAGGATCGCTTCGACTTATTCGCATAAGAAAGTAGTATCCGAGCACACCGCATCGTCTTTTAATTTTTATACTAGTTAACAACGCCCCTCCGGCCGTCCGTCCGGCACGACCGACGGTGACAGCGGGCGGCTTAAAATTGCCTGTCTTTTTTACGAAATCGATTACTATGTTATTATTAAATATGTTAATTTATATTGATAGAAATGATAATAATAAAATATATGATTAACAAAGTGTTGCGTTTTATTTGTCACTGATCTGAGTAATTTCGGTTGCGGAGGATAAGTGTGATGAGGAGGAGAAGGGAGCAGACGATGGTGGCGACGGCGAAGTATAGGCCGGCGGCAGTCATGTCAGGGGTCGGGGAGGGTGTAGGGCAGCGCCACCATGAAGGGGTCGGCGACGTTGGTGCTACGCTCGGCGGTGCGGCGCCGCTCCGCCGCCACCAGCGTGCTGTGCGATGTGCGTGGGGTGGCGGCGCTGGCGGGACTGGCGGAGCTGGCGGGACTGCCTCCGCTGGCGGGGGAGCCGACTGTGGTGACACAGGCTCGGTCTTCGTCGGCCAGCGTCACGTGTACATGCAGCGTGCTGTCACGCCACGCCTGCCACGACAGCTGGTGCTCCTGTATCTTGAGCAGCATCCAAGTGGTCAGCAGTCCGTTCAGCGCGCCTGCGACACCGTACACTAAACTGGACTGATAAATTTGATCCGATGCCGTTCTCGAAGACGCTTTCGGCTTGAATTTACTTGCTAAGGCTGAAGAATTATCTTATCTCTTATCTATTAGACAAGTCCGTCCGTCCGTCCGTCCGTGGTGCTGTTTTAGCGGCCAAACCGTAAGAGATAGATAAAGAGAATGTTTAAGTTATAAATTAAGAATAGTCTGATAAGACTACAAACCGGATTTGAGTAACGTAGCACTTCCGGTTTTCGAGAAATCACATGATTTCTATTTCAAACGAAACCACACAAAATCTCCGAAGTTCTCAATTAATTAAATACATTTTTTTTTTGGTGAACATTTGGTTCACTGGTTTGCTAGTTTTCTATAATTAGCTTAAATCTTAACTATGTTAAAGGTATCTGACTATTTCTTTGAAGTATTAACTGAAACCGTAAGTACGTGGTGTAGGTAAAAGAAAATATTTAAAAAAAATATATTACGATGATGGACATGCTTTGGCTTAACCCAATGATATTTTTTTATACAAAAGATAACAAACAAAACAAGCATAATATTCCGTCTGACAGCAAGGATAATGATATCCTATACGACATTCCATAGACACTTCCGACTCTATTGAAGTGGAGGATTAAAGCGTGTCCACCCCGTGGATCACTAGAAACCTCACTCACTGCAAAAAACCTAGATTATTAGAGGTATAATTTTTCCTTATACATATCTTCATAAACTACCAAAAAATAATTAGGAGGCACTAAAATCTTTAGGTATCACTCATTACGGTGCAATTAGAAGGTATTCTTTATATCGAGTTCTATGAAAATGCAGCGTCATCCCGTGGGCCACTTACTGATGACATATGGACACCGAAAAATGAGGTGATGCCGGCTGCCCGGTTGGATACCAGCTGCCAGGTGGATTTAGCGATGGCCTTTATTTCCTAGTCATAAAACTATATAAATAAAAAGTATATGAGTATAAGTATACTGATAGAAGTGGTCATTTATTAAATGAATTCATTAAATAAAATAAATGACTGTAGATTATGCTTACTCCTCTCGTAGGAGAGTATCTATTATTTATTTCTTTTGGTTACATGGAAGACCAACAGCTTATCTTTATATACTAGAAATGAATAGTAGCGACAAAGAGCCAATTACAGGTCTTCACATCTAGACATAACTTAAAATTATACAGAAACTATTTGCACTGTCCAATGTAAAAAATCTCTTAAATATAGTTTTATAAATGAGGTCCTTATGATAAATAACAGAATAAATTACGTAGTACATGTTAATTACTAACACTTGTCTATGAATTTAAAGTCTGGAATAAATGTTTGTTATTATTATTATATTAATTTTAATTTACAAAAAACAAACGAGGAATGATACGTCTTTATTGATGATGATATTACGAATGAAACGTAATTATGACTTTTAAAAATTGCATAATTTCTACGAACGCAGACGGAACGCACCAATTGGGTATAGGTAGTAACAAACTTCTTGAGCAAAACCACAAACAAATAAACTAGACGTAGCAGTAGACGTTTTTGTATGTAAAGTTGTTAGTGCGCAGGCTGCCTTGTCTATCGTTGCTCAAGAGGTTATACTCGAGCAATCGTGATTCTATATACGCCACACGCTCTTTACAAAACAATGTGTAAGAGAGGGACCCACCGATGATGCCGATGAGCAGCGAGGACAGGAGGTTGGCGGCGAGCGCGGCGCCCCCGCCCCGGCGCGCGCCCGCCTGCAGCACGGCGTCGCAGGCATGCAGGGCGCGCGCGGTCCCCAGCACGCTGGCGGCGCCCGCGCGGGGTATAAGAGAGAGGGACCCACCGATGATGCCGATGAGCAGCGAGGACAGGAGGTTGGCGGCGAGCGCGGCGCCCCCGCCCCGGCGCGCGCCCGCCTGCAGCACGGCGTCGCAGGCATGCAGGGCGCGCGCGGTCCCCAGCACGCTGGCGGCGCCCGCGCGGGGTATAAGAGAGAGGGACCCACCGATGATGCCGATGAGCAGCGAGGACAGGAGGTTGGCGGCGAGCGCGGCGCCCCCGCCCCGGCGCGCGCCCGCCTGCAGCACGGCGTCGCAGGCATGCAGGGCGCGCGCGGTCCCCAGCACGCTGGCGGCGCCCGCGCGGGGTATAAGAGAGAGGGACCCACCGATGATGCCGATGAGCAGCGAGGACAGGAGGTTGGCGGCGAGCGCGGCGCCCCCGCCCCGGCGCGCGCCCGCCTGCAGCACGGCGTCGCAGGCATGCAGGGCGCGCGCGGTCCCCAGCACGCTGGCGGCGCCCGCGCGGGGTATAAGAGAGAGGGACCCACCGATGATGCCGATGAGCAGCGAGGACAGGAGGTTGGCGGCGAGCGCGGCGCCCCCGCCCCGGCGCGCGCCCGCCTGCAGCACGGCGTCGCAGGCATGCAGGGCGCGCGCGGTCCCCAGCACGCTGGCGGCGCCCGCGCGGGGTATAAGAGAGAGGGACCCACCGATGATGCCGATGAGCAGCGAGGACAGGAGGTTGGCGGCGAGCGCGGCGCCCCCGCCCCGGCGCGCGCCCGCCTGCAGCACGGCGTCGCAGGCATGCAGGGCGCGCGCGGTCCCCAGCACGCTGGCGGCGCCCGCGCGGGGTATAAGAGAGAGGGACCCACCGATGATGCCGATGAGCAGCGAGGACAGGAGGTTGGCGGCGAGCGCGGCGCCCCCGCCCCGACGCGCGCCCGCCTGCAGCACGGCGTCGCAGGCATGCAGGGCGCGCGCGGTCCCCAGCACGCTGGCGGCGCCCGCGCGGGGTATAAGAGAGAGGGACCCACCGATGATGCCGATGAGCAGCGAGGACAGGAGGTTGGCGGCGAGCGCGGCGCCCCCGCCCCGGCGCGCGCCCGCCTGCAGCACGGCGTCGCAGGCATGCAGGGCGCGCGCGGTCCCCAGCACGCTGGCGGCGCCCGCGCGGGGTATAAGAGAGAGGGACCCACCGATGATGCCGATGAGCAGCGAGGACAGGAGGTTGGCGGCGAGCGCGGCGCCCCCGCCCCGGCGCGCGCCCGCCTGCAGCACGGCGTCGCAGGCATGCAGGGCGCGCGCGGTCCCCAGCACGCTGGCGGCGCCCGCGCGGGGTATAAGAGAGAGGGACCCACCGATGATGCCGATGAGCAGCGAGGACAGGAGGTTGGCGGCGAGCGCGGCGCCCCCGCCCCGGCGCGCGCCCGCCTGCAGCACGGCGTCGCAGGCATGCAGGGCGCGCGCGGTCCCCAGCACGCTGGCGGCGCCCGCGCGGGGTATAAGAGAGAGGGACCCACCGATGATGCCGATGAGCAGCGAGGACAGGAGGTTGGCGGCGAGCGCGGCGCCCCCGCCCCGGCGCGCGCCCGCCTGCAGCACGGCGTCGCAGGCATGCAGGGCGCGCGCGGTCCCCAGCACGCTGGCGGCGCCCGCGCGGGGTATAAGAGAGAGGGACCCACCGATGATGCCGATGAGCAGCGAGGACAGGAGGTTGGCGGCGAGCGCGGCGCCCCCGCCCCGGCGCGCGCCCGCCTGCAGCACGGCGTCGCAGGCATGCAGGGCGCGCGCGGTCCCCAGCACGCTGGCGGCGCCCGCGCGGGGTATAAGAGAGAGGGACCCACCGATGATGCCGATGAGCAGCGAGGACAGGAGGTTGGCGGCGAGCGCGGCGCCCCCGCCCCGGCGCGCGCCCGCCTGCAGCACGGCGTCGCAGGCATGCAGGGCGCGCGCGGTCCCCAGCACGCTGGCGGCGCCCGCGCGGGGTATAAGAGAGAGGGACCCACCGATGATGCCGATGAGCAGCGAGGACAGGAGGTTGGCGGCGAGCGCGGCGCCCCCGCCCCGGCGCGCGCCCGCCTGCAGCACGGCGTCGCAGGCATGCAGGGCGCGCGCGGTCCCCAGCACGCTGGCGGCGCCCGCGCGGGGTATAAGAGAGAGGGACCCACCGATGATGCCGATGAGCAGCGAGGACAGGAGGTTGGCGGCGAGCGCGGCGCCCCCGCCCCGGCGCGCGCCCGCCTGCAGCACGGCGTCGCAGGCATGCAGGGCGCGCGCGGTCCCCAGCACGCTGGCGGCGCCCAGGGCCCCGCCCCGCCACAGGTCGGCCGCCAGCGCGCGCCCGCGCCCCGACCGCGCCCACTCCGCCACCGACCGCATCCACGACCATCTACACGCGGATCCGTCATACATCAACACTCCATTTTAAACTTTAAACGTTTAATCCTACCGGCTTCCTAACTTATATTGTAATATTAGGTTCCTAACTAATATTTATTATAATACTAGCTGACCCAGCGAACTTCGTACCGCCCTAAAAAAATAGGGGTTGTCCAGCGGACAAAATTGTGAATCTAAACCATTCTCAGATCCCCTTGAACACACACAAAAAATTTCATCAAAATCGGTCCAGTCGTTTAAGAGAAGTTCAGTGACATACACACTCACAGAAGAATTATATATATAAAGATTTGTTCTCAGTAGGATTAAACACAATTAACATTTATAAATTCGAAAGTGTTTTTGTTCGTTTATTAGTTATGCTTTCACGCCGAAAGTACTTAACGGATTTGGATGAAATTTGGTACTTATACAGTTTATGACATGGATAGAGATATGGGATACTTTTTATGCCGAAAAAAAAATAAGGTTCCTCAGAGATTTTCAAAAACTAAAGTTAACACGAACGAATTTGCACGAACGAAGTTGCTTGTTCGAGGCAGGTGCGGTATAATTTTATCATAAATAGTGAGCTTATGAAAGCGCTGCCTACTCTTACTTTTTATAATGCGCGTAGAAAAAGCTCTAATGGCAAATAGTATAATATAAACCATCCCTTATCCCTCCAAACAGTCAGTCACACCTTCCTTCTCGGCCTACATTATATGCAGCGCTCGTCCAAGAAGTGCATTGTGATTCAGTTGGAGAAGCCGACAATTACCTCAATAAACTTAGATTTTCAGCCAAAAAACAAACGTTTAAAACAAACTTCACTCATTGACTAGCATTATAATTAGTGTACAAATAGCAATAACCCCTAAATTGCATTATACGAGTCTCGAGCAGTTCAAATACATCGTCCAAACACTTTGATCAAACGCTGATTACCATTGACAACTGGAAGCAAAACAAAACCAAATATCTCGTGAAAACAAGCTCACTTGTGACTCCTGGTGACTACGTAGTGATGCCTGCATAGCTCGCAGTAGGAGGTTGCGGCCTGCAGCAGCCAGCGTTCGAGGCAGGTGCGGTGCACGGCGGCGATGGTGCCGCGGCAGCCGCACGGCCGCACCAGCCGCTCCGCCGACTCGCCGCCGAAGCAGATGCGGCAGATATTCTCCGAGTGCCGGCTGCCCGTGAAGCTCGACACCTCCTTGACGTTGGCGCCCACGGATGAACCCTCAAATAATGGTCATTACTTTAATTAAAGCAATTCTTTTGAAGAAACGCTAAAGTTACCATAGATGAAAAAGTTCTTTAAGATCTGTGATTTTACAATTTTATTGGAGCTATAGTAGTCTCCATACTAAACTGTTCTGAGTACAGCTAACTAAATACATCATGTAGGTATTAAAAATTGCAATTTACCTGTTTATTGAGCAAGAGCGCACAGACTGACCCTAGAATGGACATGGAGCGACCGGTTGGCTGCAGCAGCGACGACGCCGGAGAGGAGAAATTCAGCGAATCCGCTATGCGAGTACGCAGCTGTCGTTCATCTGCCTCGCTCCCGCTCACTGGTGTGATCAAGGGCATTATCACCTTACAGAACTTTACAGAAACAGCAGACTAATGGGTTGTTCCAGTCTCTGAAAGAGTCGGATAAAAACCCAGGGATTTAAGGAGTGGGCAGGCTTGATATTATTTCTGCTGCATTAACCAGCTATCTTGTATTTATATCCATTGGATTGGAATATTTAGAATTTCCTTTGGAATTATGAATAATTTATGTTTTTGATGGCCCGTATTGCTTGTTTTTTCTACGCCAGGGAAATTCATGATTTAGAGGTGTGGGGGCCCCCATTTTCAATAGTTATTGTTTTTCTCTTTGTGGAAACCCCTGGGTCACATCCCGTTTGCCCTGTCTTAAATCAGGCCCTGTGAGACCGCCGTCTCGTGGGCATGAGCACTACATCGTTATTCTGCGACAAATACAGCATTAATTTAAACATCATATACAAAAGTGATTTCTAGAAATAAAGACTAATGGCTCAATTACATTTGGTCGTTAGCCATTGTTCGGGTGCACGAAAGCCATTACTCAAATTCAGGCACCCAAAGCAATATTTACACTGTAATACGGGGTAAAAGACGATGTCGAGTAGAGTCTGTACGGAAAGAGAATGGGCGTGGCGAAAAACGGAACTAACATTCAGATTTTTATTTGGCAATCAAACCCAGCAATCTGTAAAACGTCAAAGTTTTGTATTGATACGGATTTGTTTGTTGTTGTGATTTCTTGCGGTTTTTTGTATTTAATCATGTCTAAAAGGGGTAAAACCTTACAAATACGGTAGACAAGCACTACGGCGCCCTAAAATCTAAATCCCATTCTCTTCCCGCACAGACTCTAACTAAAAAAACTATACGAATACGGGCGTACCAAGGGCGGATCCAGCTTTGGCGCCAGGGTGGGGTCATATAGCCAGCTTTGGTGCCAGGGGGGGGGGTCATATAGTCATGGTATATTAAATATTGAAAGTACTTAAATAAAATCCCCCTGGGTTTGGTCCATATGTACCCAGCCCAGGGGGGGGGGTCATGACCCCCATGACCGCCCCCCCCCCCCCTGGATCCGCCCTTGGGGCGTACTCAACTCCGTTCATTCATTTACCCGAATTCCATTAACACTCGTAAGGGGCCGTCCATTAATCACGTGATTTTTTTTTTGGCGTTTTTAGACCCCCCTTCCCCCTTGGTGATATATGGTGAGGTTTAAGACTACCCCCCCCCCCCCCCCCCTCCATATCACGTGTATTTTTTAGTATATAATTTATTTTGTTGAAAATATATATGAAATACAGGTATAAAGTATCAAGGTTGCAGGTTGTTTTTGACTGACAAAAATAATGAAATAAATGCGAAAAACTTATACTTGAACATTATTTAATGTACAGTATCCGCGGACCACGGAAATACACATGATATATTACTACAGCCCCCCTCCCCCCTTGTGATATTTCGTGATTTTTATGGACCCCTCCCCCCCTCCTTCGAGCCTCACGTGATTAATGGACAGCCCCTAATGACCAAGTGTCATCTCGCCATAAGTTTACCTGGCGAGGCGATCCCCGGAGATCTACAACTGATGTCGGTCTGCTGGGCCGTGGAGCGGATCTCGCGCTCGCGATTGCTACTCTGGGCATATGGCTAAGGGTAAAATTCAAACATCTTTAGTACCATAAAATATTAAAAACGTACATAAAAACCAGCCACGTACGAACTTAATAAGACGTCAATGTTACTTTTGTGGAATGATCTCCCGCTAGATATCAGAATGTCCCCCAGTAAATAGTAGTAAGGAAAACGAGCGTTGGCTTGCCAACAACCTGATGTTTACAGGTTGGCAAGGTATTAAAATATGAAAAAAATATGTATCAATGATTAAATAAAAAAAAAAAAAAAAAAAAAAAAAATATACCTTTAAAACCAAACTGCGAAGCTTTTTATTAGAACAGGCGTTTCGTTGAGTGGTTTGTCGTCATTATTTTGTATTTATTTTGGAAATATGTATTTGTGTATTTATTTAAATATATTAACTTATGTATGTGTACGTTTATATGTTATTATTTATATTTATTATTTTTATAAACTTCAATGTGATCTCCACTTCAGTTGTGCACCCTACCACTAATAATATCCACAACATCCTATGGTTGACTGGTAGAGAATGCCTACGGCATTAAGTCCGCCATTGTACATTTATGCATAAAGAATAAATAAATAAAATAAAAATAAATGTTCATCATTCATCTGCTTTCATCATTTAGTTTTAGGCTCCTTTATTCCTAATTTTATTAAACTACTATTATATTGAGGAGCTCGATGGCGCAGGTGGTTAGCGCGTTCGGCTGCGATCGTTGAAGTTAAGCAACTTTCGCAGTGGTCGGTCATGGGATGGGTGACCAAAAATCTTCTATCTCGAGTTCCTCCGTGCTTCGGAAGGCACGTTAAGCCGTTGGTCCTGGCTGCATATGTAGTCGTTAGCACCCGCCAATCCGCACTGAGCCCGCGTGGTGGGTTATGGCCCAATCTCCCTATTCCATCCATAGGGAAGGCCTGTGGCCCAGCAGTGGGGACATTAATAGGCTGGTGATGATGATGATGAAACTTTTATTATTTGCCGTGCCGAGAAACAGAAATACAAATACTGTGGAAATTTTAACTGCCTACTTAACACGGTTAATGCGATACACCTCGCTGGCAGACAGACAGCCGAACGGACAGGGGCGGCTTAGTACCATACCCCAAAATTTTACAACGGAAACTTTAAAATGAGCTTTATAAATCTTATAGGCAAGGACGCCAGCGCACCAGATGGTCTTGGCTTCGATTCCCTATATAAGTCGCGGCACGAAACTCTAGCGTTGACCGTTATTACGCAGAAGTAAAAATACAGGGTGCGGCCAGAGTGCACTCAGATTCAGATTCAGATTCAGATTTCGAAAACAAGCGCGAGAAATAAACACTGTAATCGAAGGGTACGGCCAGAGTGCACTCCTGATTCAGATTCAGATTCAGACTCAGAAAACAAAGCGCGAGAAAAAGCAGGCAACCTGCTTAGACTACACTGTTTATTTCTCGCGCTTGTTTTCGAAATCTGAATCTGATTCTGAATCTGAGTGCACTCTGGCCGCACCCTAAGATGTGTTGGGGGAAAATAGATGCGCGAGTGGGCGTGCGTTGCGGCGATTGGCTCTCCAGTCATACCCTTGTGCAGCTATCACCTCGGCGTTTTGTTAAGTAGAGTTACGTGTCGCGACCTGTAAATAGCAACGTATTGCCTACGTAGTAGCGGTTTTTCTTAAACGAAAACTAGTCCTCCAAACGGTTCTCGTTCGCAACTGGTTTTGGTTGCGGCCGGGTGACGCAACGAAACGACACTCGACGGTCGAACGAATGTAACGCAACGAAACTGAACTAAATGAAATCTTGTTAACGTTCGTTTCGTTGCTGCGAACGAGACGACGAAACATCGAAATAAATGTGGTGTTATACGATAATCGACTTTAAATGTTCAGTAATAAAAATTATATTATTGTAAAATCAAAGATTAATTATCATAGAACGAAACGGCGTCATATCATTGCGTTCTATTATAGACTGTATTTACTTCATCATAAAGTACATATTGACGTGCAGACACTCGCGGAACACAAAACGGTCCTTGAAACCGGTTCGTCTTTAGAACGCTCACAGTCACACCTACTACGTAGTTTGAACTGAGAGTTATTTGTTCCTCATTTCTAGCTAGAAATAGAGATAGGAGAAACGTAAGGCGACGTCCCCTAAGCAGCGAAATGTAACATTCGACATTTTTAAAGTAGAAATAAGTGTAACTAAAAGCTCACTGGCAAGTGTATAGAAGAGCAGCTGGACGTTGACATGACTGTGAACCTGCTCTCGGAGCGGTCGCAGCCCCAGAACATCAGCAGCGTCTCACCCTCGCCCACGTTGCATTCCTGGTACATACCACATCAGTTTAGCTAAATAACAATCAGTGCCGTCTTTGACCTATTGGAGGCCCTGGGCATATTAGGATAATGGGGCCCCTATGACTTCTGTTTGGTGATTTAACAGGAACTAGGGACTTTGTATTTGATCTGTGCCTTTGCGCATTTGCGCAAAGTGCCCACTAGGAAAGACGGATCTGATAACAATCATGTATTCCTGTTGTAGTATTGACCACTTTATGGCCCACCCTTGAACCCAAACACGGAACTTCTGATTATAATGACATGAAATGTTGTGATACAAGATAGACCCGTGGCCCAGACAGATGAACCAGACAGATAGATACATAATTTAGACAAGGTCTTGAATGTTATGTGACTCTCAGATCAAAGACTTTGTAACGTAGCAGAGACATTAAGCTGTTGCAGCAGTAAATCCTGCCACTCCAATTACCCTCAGCCTACCTTACTGCAGAATAATGTAGCAGTCTTATACAAAATAGAGGTTACTTCTCCAACCGTTGCTCCAATTCGTGCGGGAAATAGCTGTGGCTGTAAGCCAAATATCCGTTTTGCAATGTTCGAGATCCTACTGTCTTCACACAGAAACTTTAGGGTTGCTATTACAAATAAAGAGGAAAATGAAGTATGGTATTTATGTATCTTATTAAGTAGATAGTTACCCTCAACAAATTGGAGTAGCTGCAACTTCTATGGAACTTAAAGTTGATACTCTTTAAAGCTTGCTGAATGTTTGGCTTGTAGATGTCCGGGAACAGGACCGCGTGCCTCAAGTTGTGGATGACATCACTAGGAAAAGTATCAATCTCGCCTGAGCTAATCAAACTGTCTAGCGCTACAAATTTGCGCATTTTTCATTGCGGCCACAGAAACATTGTGTTTTTTATTTTTTACTTATTGCGTTTTTTGTGTTTTGGTTAGCTACAAATTGTAGCACGTCATAGTGACATGATATCAACAAAAAAAATAGCTACGAGATTTGTTGTCAACTCAGTATTTATGGTACCTACTTGTATGTATCATATCATGTATGTATATTGTAGGTAAGTATCTTATTAAGTCCATGATATTTATTTATTTACTAACAGTCGCGGAAATAAAGGTTCACTGCTGTTCTGTTCCCCGTAGGTGATAGCGTGATAATATGTAGCCCATATGTTGACCCGACTTCTTAATAATATTCGTGCCATATTTAAAGTAAATCCATGCAGTACTTTTTGAGTTCATCCCGGACATACATACAGACAAACAGACAAAAAATCTAAAAACTATATTTTTGGCTTCGGTATCGATTGTAGTACTTGGTTGGTTGGTTCGGTATCCACAAGTATTCAATATATAGTAAAAAATATTCAATGTACAGTGTTGACTTTCCAACCATTTTATTATATGTATAGATATAATTTTTCTTATTTTTAAAGCATGTAACTGCTTGATGTTTAAATCTAAAGAAAATATAACTAGAAAAAATTCCACGCGGACCAGGCAGCAGACGGGACTCGAACCCGCACCCTTCGCAATCCGGGCGAATGCACTGACCAATTATGCTACCGCGGCCCTCACGGACCGCGTCGAAATTCCTTCTAGCTATTCTTAAGCTGCAAGGCAGCGCCATCTCTTCGCATTATAGGTAAACCCACAATGTCAAATGAATACTTTTACAAGTATTAAACATTTGAAAGAAGAAATAGCAATTATAGTTATAATTTTTATTATTTTTAAAGCATGTAACTGCTTGATGTTTAAATCTAAAGAAAATATAACTAGAAAAAATTCCACGCGGACCAGGCAGCAGACGGGACTCGAACCCGCACCCTTCGCAATCCGGGCGAATGCACTGACCAATTATGCTACCGCGGCCCTCACGGACCGCGTCGAAATTCCTTCTAGCTATTCTTAAGCTGCAAGGCAGCGCCATCTCTTCGCATTATAGGTAAACCCACAATGTCAAATGAATACTTTTACAAGTATTAAACATTTGAAAGAAGAAATAGCAATTATAGTTATAATTTTTATTATTTTTAAAGCATGTAACTGCTTGATGTTTAAATCTAAAGAAAATATAACTAGAAAAAATTCCACGCGGACCAGGCAGCAGACGGGACTCGAACCCGCACCCTTCGCAATCCGGGCGAATGCACTGACCAATTATGCTACCGCGGCCCTCACGGACCGCGTCGAAATTCCTTCTAGCTATTCTTAAGCTGCAAGGCAGCGCCATCTCTTCGCATTATAGGTAAACCCACAATGTCAAATGAATACTTTTACAAGTATTAAACATTTGAAAGAAGAAATAGCAATTATAGTTATAATTTTTATTATTTTTAAAGCATGTAACTGCTTGATGTTTAAATCTAAAGAAAATATAACTAGAAAAAATTCCACGCGGACCAGGCAGCAGACGGGACTCGAACCCGCACCCTTCGCAATCCGGGCGAATGCACTGACCAATTATGCTACCGCGGCCCTCACGGACCGCGTCGAAATTCCTTCTAGCTATTCTTAAGCTGCAAGGCAGCGCCATCTCTTCGCATTATAGGTAAACCCACAATGTCAAATGAATACTTTTACAAGTATTAAACATTTGAAAGAAGAAATAGCAATTATAGTTATAATTTTTATTATTTTTACCCGACTGCCAAAGAGGGAGGGTAATGTTTAGGGAGTGTATGTAAGTATGTATGTATGTCTGTTCCTTTGTGACCTCCTGTAGCCTAAACGGCTTGATGGATTTTGATGTATGAGGTATCGTTAGATTTGTCTTGATTACGGGAGTGTCATAGGATACATTTTATCCTAAAAGTCCCACGGGATAAAGACATAATAATATTTTTTCTAAATTTCCCTTTAAAAAAATATGTATGCGGTATCATTAGATTCATTTTTAGACTGTCTTAAGGTACTTAATAATTCCCGCGATATTAATTCCCTTACTGAAGTAACAAGACTACGGTATATACCGTCTTAAAATACTAACTAACTAAAAAGTGTGAAATAAAAAAGGTAAATTTAAAAAATCAAAAAACCCGACTGCTTAATTATACTTCAAATAAAAACTGAAAAGAAAAAAACAAGTCCAGTAGTCTATAATTCTGTTAATAAGGAACAAAGCTACTTTAACAGTCGGGACCCACTGTTGAAAAATATTATGTATTCTTGAATATCTAATGGGTCCCGACTGTTAAAGTAGCTTTGTTCCTTATTAACAGAATTATAGACTACTGGACTTGTTTTTTTCTTTTCAGTTTTTATTTGAAGTATAATTAAGCAGTCGGGTTTTTTGATTTTTTAAATTTACCTTTTTTTTAAAGCATGTAACTGCTTGATGTTTAAATCTAAAGAAAATATAACTAGAAAAAATTCCACGCGGACCAGGCAGCAGACGGGACTCGAACCCGCACCCTTCGCAATCCGGGCGAATGCACTGACCAATTATGCTACCGCGGCCCTCACGGACCGCGTCGAAATTCCTTCTAGCTATTCTTAAGCTGCAAGGCAGCGCCATCTCTTCGCATTATAGGTAAACCCACAATGTCAAATGAATACTTTTACAAGTATTAAACATTTGAAAGAAGAAATAGCAATTATAGTTATAATTTTTATTATTTTTAAAGCATGTAACTGCTTGATGTTTAAATCTAAAGAAAATATAACTAGAAAAAATTCCACGCCAAAATACTTGTAAAAGTATTCATTTGACATTGTGGGTTTACCTATAATGCGAAGAGATGGCGCTGCCTTGCAGCTTAAGAATAGCTAGAAGGAATTTCGACGCGGTCCGTGAGGGCCGCGGTAGCATAATTGGTCAGTGCATTCGCCCGGATTGCGAAGGGTGCGGGTTCGAGTCCCGTCTGCTGCCTGGTCCGCGTGGAATTTTTTCTAGTTATATTTTCTTTAGATTTAAACATCAAGCAGTTACATGCTTTAAAAATAATAAAAATTATAACTATAATTGCTATTTCTTCTTTCAAATGTTTAATACTTGTAAAAGTATTCATTTGACATTGTGGGTTTACCTATAATGCGAAGAGATGGCGCTGCCTTGCAGCTTAAGAATAGCTAGAAGGAATTTCGACGCGGTCCGTGAGGGCCGCGGTAGCATAATTGGTCAGTGCATTCGCCCGGATTGCGAAGGGTGCGGGTTCGAGTCCCGTCTGCTGCCTGGTCCGCGTGGAATTTTTTCTAGTTATATTTTCTTTAGATTTAAACATCAAGCAGTTACATGCTTTAAAAATAATAAAAATTATAACTATAATTGCTATTTCTTCTTTCAAATGTTTAATACTTGTAAAAGTATTCATTTGACATTGTGGGTTTACCTATAATGCGAAGAGATGGCGCTGCCTTGCAGCTTAAGAATAGCTAGAAGGAATTTCGACGCGGTCCGTGAGGGCCGCGGTAGCATAATTGGTCAGTGCATTCGCCCGGATTGCGAAGGGTGCGGGTTCGAGTCCCGTCTGCTGCCTGGTCCGCGTGGAATTTTTTCTAGTTATATGTATAGATGTTAAAAACAACTATGACAACGTTAATAAAATACAAACATAGGCATTATTTTATGCTATACATAAGGAACTTATATACCTAGGTACCTATTATATTGCTTACACCTAAATCTGCTGTAAAAGCTTTTGTTATGTGCTGTTGCCAAAATTGCACTTTCACACAATTGTGCATAATTAAAATAATAGGTTATCTTGTTTGTTTGTTACCTACGCTGTCACACCTAAGGAATACTATGAATTTTGGCATAAACATTTATGAGACCCTGGAGAAAGTATAATTGAAAGAGGATAAAATATGGGATGAAAGCATGTAATGGAAAACTATTTCCTTCGAAAACAAAGTAGCGGGCACCACTAGTAAATTATAAAAAAAAATACAACTTACTCCCAGCGTTAGCATGAAGCCACGCATTATTGGGCGCATCGGGTCCCCACACTTCCTGGGCTCAGCCGGCTTAGATGTGGCGCTGCCTTGGAGCCCAAGAGGAACATACCATTCAATCGTTGTATTTAACTTTAATGGTACATTTGTTTTTATGCCTAAACAGTGGCATTCCTAAACTTTTTTCATTTTTAAATCTGTTTTTTATATTTTTTATTTTATAGTCATAATTGTTTTATCATTTACATTTGTAATGGAAAGTGACTTCATGGGTTATCTCATATTGAACTCATTTTTCAAATTGACGACTCTGTATATAATACAGGGAGAAAATAACAGCCCTTGCTGAGTTTCTTGCCGGTTCTTCTCAGTACAAGGTCTCCCGCCGTAGATTTGCGAACCGATGGCGTAGCTTTTCGACATTCACAAGTGCTTGTAACAGCCTAGACTGAATAAACGATATTGAATTTTGAATTTTTGAATTGAATTCATTCATAAGGTTCGACATGTCCATAAGTTCTTGTGACTTCATTACACTTTATCATTATACAGCCTCTATTCGGGTGCACGAAAGACATTACTCGAATTCGGGCACCCGAAGCAATATTTACACTGGAATACGGGCTGGAAGACGGTGTCGAAAACTACCAGAATATAAGCGTACTCGACTCCGTACATTTACATTTAGTTGCTTACCTGAATTCAGTAAGTGTTATTGAACCATTATGGAGGTAGCTGGAGATATTGCATCCGTCGGATAGCTAAGGGCGCCTGTTGGATGCCCTTGGTGTACGTATATTGTGACATCAGAGTGGTTAAAAAAATGGTTGCCTGTAAAGTCGGTTTTACGGGCGAAGATTTTACGTGACAACGTCTTTTTCTCGGTAGAATATTTATTGATATGAATATAATTAAATTGCACAATAGGAACAAGGAATTGAATGAAAATAAGAATTGCACAAATTTTAACTATAGAAATATATTTTGTTTACTAAAACATTGTACATGTAAACTTAAACTTAACACGAGAGACTCATCGTAACGTTACCGAGCGTTACACTTTTTCATAAGTGACTCCCAGCTGCAACCTAATTTAAGACGTTGTCACGTCAAAATACAAGCTACAAAATGAACGAAGTTGCATACATCTCTTATCCCTATTTTACCTTGGTAGCGCCTGCTTATTATTCAATAAAACACTCTTTGAACAGGTAATAAGTGTGATTTATTAAATCACAACGCAATAAGAAGAAACCGGGTGATTAATGGCTTTTACAACACATTTACTCAATAAATGCATTTACGATGGTTGTATACATTGTTCGATAAATTAAAATTACGGGTCATACAGCGGAGCGTGCTGTAAAAAACCGTTATGCACGCTCCCATATATTGCACCGTGCGTTAAGGTTTTTTTTATTTCGGTCGATCACACTAATATAATCGGCGATGCGGGTTAGAGTGAGAGAGGAGGAGATCACATAGTTATTAAAGTAAATGACCACAAGTGATTGGTAGGTGAAAAGGGGATTGAAGGGAGAGGATAAGCGATTGGTGGGTAAAAAGCGGATTGGCCTTTTTCACACTCCGACTCCCTTTACACCCTGTAAAGGGAGTGTGAAAAGGGGGAAGGGCAGGGGGGTGTAAAGGAATTCGAGGGTCAGAATGGGCATTGGAGAGTGAAAGGGATTCAAGGGTGATAAGAGGATAAGTGGGTGAAAATAAAGGGATTGGTGGGTGATAGTGGGGATTGATGGGTGATATTAGGGGATTGGTAGATATAGCTACTGTTTTCTCGCAAATGTGTTGAAAAACGTATGATATTCGTGCGGATTAGTATTTACTTCCAATTAAAAATAAATGATACTATAATACTTTGTACTTACCGATCACCATCAAATATGAATGCTGAGGGTTTTATAAGCTCACTGAATGCACATTTAGAAACTAAAAACATACAAAAATATAGTTTTGACTGGGGACTTAAACATAAATATCATACCGCAGGAAAATGAGCAAGGTTACGAACATAAAAACAGAGCTGGTTATTTAGATATGTTAGCGACACACGGTATAATGATGGGCCACAATAAACCCACTAGAGAAAAAAGTTCCTTGGATCACGTCATGCTTAAGTATGACCGGTCAAAAATACTGTCCCACGTAGCAGTTCTGAACACTACTATCACGGACCACTCCATGGTTTTGTTACACCTTGGTCATCAACATTTAAAAACTAAACCTAATAAAATTAAAAGAGTTGTAAACTTTGATAAGGCAGTACTCACACTGACAGCAAAAAAAGTAAATAAATTGATCTACAACTGTGATCCTCTGGAAGTAACTCAAAAGCTAATCAACAATTTAATAGAGTCTCTGAAAGATAACACCAAAAAAGTACTTATCCCTAAAAAAGATCGAATTATCAAACCGTGGATAACACCGGGAATTTTGAGGTGTATTAGACACAGAAATAAATTACAGAAAAAGCTTCGTTCAAATACAGAGGACGACATACTTAGAATCACCTATAGACGCTATCGAAACTTTTGCAATAATCTAATTAAAAAGCTTAAACGAGACCACGATAGGGAGATGCTTAATAAATCTAAAATAAATACTAAAACCTTTTGGAATACGATATCAGCCATAACGCACATAAAATCTTCCAAATCTGAAAATTCAAAATTACTTAAGCTAAAAACTACACCTGAAGAATCTGTAAACTATATAAATGACTATTTTGGCAATATTGGTAAAAATCTGGCCGATATCATACCTCAAAAAGATGGCTTAAATTTGATAAACAACAACCCTCCTCCACCACTAAATTCCTTTGTGCTATTGAATACGGATGATGATGAGATTAAATCTGTTTTAATGAGTTTAAAATCCGACAGTGCCCCTGGTTCTGACAGTATCCCAACTAGTTTTCTTAAACGGGCAAAAGACGTGGTTGTCCCAGTTATTACTCACCTCTCCAACCTCTGCTTTTCTCAAGGTATTTTTCCACCTCAATTGAAGGAGGCTTTAATTACACCAGTTTACAAGAACGGAGATAGAAGCGACGTCAACAATTATAGGTCAATTTCAGTATTAACCGCTATTTCCAAAATTATTGAAAAACTTTTGAATAAGAGACTGTTGAGATATCTTGAGAAATATAACATCCTGTCAAATTTCCAGTTTGGGTTTAGAGCTGGCAAATCTACTGCTGATGCCATCGAGTCACTAACTTCCATTGTAACTGAACATCTGGACAGAAAACGCAAATGTCTCGCGGTATTCTTAGATTTAAAAAAGGCTTTCGACACCGTTTCTATCCCCATCCTTGTTCAAAAACTGGAGAAGGTGGGAATCAGGGGTAAATCATTAAGCTTATTTAAGGACTATCTGTATGGCAGGATGCAAAAGGTAAAGGTGGGCGAATATGTGAGTGGTACAACTGGGGAGCATCCTGGGTCCGACGCTCTTCCTCATTTACATAAACGACTTATGTAATATGAGTATTCAAAATGCAAGCATTCTGTCATACGCGGATGATACTGCTGTGGTTTTTTCGGGAGAGAACTGGGATATTGTTAAGCATAGGACTGAACTTGGACTGACTATGATTTCCGAGTGGCTAGTGGCTAATCTGCTTACCCTAAATATAAAAAAAACAAATTACATGTGCTTCTCTATCCAAGATAGGACACAGCCGACAGCTGGTTATGATATTAAGATCCACTCTGGCTCCTGCATTCGTAGTATGTGTCAGGATTGCAGCTGTCCATCCATGACTAAGGTAAAAAATGTTAAATATCTTGGGATTATGCTCGATCAGAGACTATCTTGGTACTCTCATATTGACCTGGTTGGATCTAGAATGCGGAAGCTGATCTGGGTCTTTAAAACACTGCGATATGTAGCCACTAAGGATATGCTGAACCAGATATATGTTGCGCTGGCGCAATCAGTCTTGATTTACTACATAAGGGTTTGGGGTGGAGCGCTGAAAACTAAATTTTTAGAGGTTGAAAGAGCTCAAAGAGCTCTGATCAAAGTTATCTAAGTATTTAAAAAAACGCGACTTCCCAACTGAGCTGCTTTACTCTATGTCAGATTTACTAACTGTTAGAAAGCTATACATTCTACATGCTGTATTACGGAAGCACACAACACTGCCGTACAATCCTAGTCATCATCATCATCATCAGCCTATTAATGTCCCCACTGCTGGGGCACAGGCCTTCCCTATGGATGGAATAGGGAGATTGGGCCATGACCCACCACGCGGGCCCAGTGCGGATTGGTGGGTGCTAACGACTGCAAATGCAGCCGGGACCAACGGCTTAATGTACCTTCCGAAGCACGGAGGAGCTCGACATAGTAAATTTTTGGTCACCCATCCAATGACCGACCACTGCGAAAGTTGCTTAACTTCAACGATCGCAGCCGAACGCGCTAGCCACCTGCGCCATCGAGCTCCTCCAATCCTCCAATCCTAGTATCGTAGAAAAAAGAAGAAGAGACATAGTAGCATTAGTCCAGTGCTCTAACACAAGTTTTGCTCGCAACCAGTACCTCCACATCTCCTCCATCATCTATAACCATATTAACAAAATTTTAAATATTTATTCTCTAACTTACCGGGAGTGCAAGCTCAAACTGATGGCATGGCTCAAGACCTTGGATTATGATCACACTGAGAGCCCTCTTAATTTTACTTACTAGCGGATAAAAAGAGCATTTGTACACACATACTCACGTACACTGTCACACTCACGCACATGCACACACATGCACACACACGAACACGCACACACACATACAGACACACACTCAACCGCTTATATAAATTGTAATTTATATATTTTTTATTTTTTTACAATGTATTAAAAATCCAATGAAAAGACCTTACCATAAGAAATATTAATGATGCTATGGAAGAGTGGTTCCTTCTGGTACAGGTGTTTAACACTTAATAGAAGGAACCCACCCTGGTTTGATGTAAAACAAATGTGGTACCGTAATAAACTTTTTTGATTTTGATTTTTTTTGATTTTGATACTTACTCGTGACTATGGTAAAATAACCAATAAAAATTACCGCACTTACTACTTTTTAAGAAAATTCAAAATTACGGGTTATACAGCATAGCGTGCGGTAAAATTCATTACGCACGCTCCCATACACGGCACCATGTGTATTCTTTACGGGTTTTTTTTTTAATTTCTATCGATCCTCCTCGAAAGCGCTTTTAGTCTATACCTATGTTTCACTTTATTACTAAAGAGAAAAAGAAGATGAAAGATGTAGGTAGTTCTAATTTTCACCACCCGCACGTGGCGTAATTTGAAAATGCGCCATTTTCTTAATAGAAAAAAAATCACTTCATTACTTAAATTATGTATAATGTTTTCTCGCAAATGTGTTGAAAAACTTTGTATGACATTCGTGTGGATTGGTATTAAAAACTCGTAACTATGGTAAACTCGACTTCGTCACGGGCTTACATTCGTCTACTCGTTTGCAATAACCAACTTACCGCAATATTGTAAAGAACACTGCTTACCGGACCGGACCTGACCGGATAGGCCCAAACCGGCATGTTTATTGCCGCTCTTATTTATAATCTATGATTATCAAGATTGACCATAGTTAAAAAATATTCTAGAGGATAGACTATTGACAACGAAACTATTTAGTCTATGAATGCGGCGCTGTATTTGGTTAATATTCGTGTTAGCTATTTGTAAACCTGACATTAGTCTGTCTTTTTCAGTTTTTTATAGCATGAAAAGGATAGCCTGTTGTCAAGTTCACGAACAACTAATACGAATAGCCAAGTGAAGTGTCGGTATATTATGTCGAAGACTCCGTAAAACGTCATTGACCATCCGGTTTCCTCGTAAATTGGAGTTTCCGCACGTGAATATTGGTTATTTTTTGTTACATTTGTTGTGAAATACCTTGAAATTACAGTTTGACTTACTGCGAAATTAAATACTACAATTATGGCGGTCCGCGTACAGTTCGAAAACAATAATGAAGTGGGAGTATTTAGTAAGTTGACAAATTCTTATTGTCTCGTCGCTATCGGCGGATCCGAAAATTTCTACAGCGTGTTCGAGGCCGAATTGGCTGATACAATCCCCGTAGTGCACGCGAGCATTGCCGGTTGCCGCATCATTGGACGCATGACTGTTGCTAACAAGAACGGCCTGCTCGTGCCATCATCCACCACAGACACAGAATTGCAACACATTAGAAATAGTTTACCAGAGAACGTTAAGGTTCAGCGTGTAGAGGAACGCCTGAGCGCCCTCGGGAACGTGATCACATGCAACGACTACATTGCCCTCGTACACCCTGATTTGGACCGCGACACTGAGGAAATCCTTGCTGATACTCTAAATGTTGAAGTATTCAGACAAACAGTAGCAGGAAACGTCCTAGTCGGCACTTACGCAGCGCTCAGCAACAGAGGCGGCCTTGTACACCCCAAAACGACAATCCAAGACCAAGATGAACTCTCATCCCTTCTACAAGTACCTTTAGTGGCAGGCACAGTGAACAGAGGCAGTGAAGTCATAGCTGCAGGACTCGTAGTTAACGATTGGTGTGCCTTTTGTGGTATGGACACTACATCAACTGAAATCTCGGTGATTGAAAGTGTATTTAAATTAAATGATGCAAATCCAACAGCTATCACATCCACAATGCGTGCTTCACTAATTGACAGTATGTCGTAACATTGACTGCACTAAATTTAACAGTTAAATATGTGATATAATGTATTACAGTTAATTGAAACAGTACTTTGAATTGTTGAAGGTGTTGAGCAAATTGCACAACGTTAAAACAATAATTGTGTAAGTAATATTAAATAAATGTCAAATAACATGGGTTTTTTTTAAACAAATTCATAGTGGAAGATCGTTAATAAAAGAGTAGTTACTTATAATACAATTTATTAAATAAACATTCACAACAAGACAAAGTCCTTCACATACAGTTGCCACATAAGTTTCTTTGGAAGTACCAATAGTTAACACCATTCAAACAAAATAGGAACAGAATTTTCTAAAATTTTAAATATTTTCCAACATTTTTATTTAAGATACTATGCATATAAGACTTGTGTGTTGAAATTACATACATACCTCAGATGGCTAGTCATAAATTGCGTAGAAAATATAATAACATGTAAAAGTAATTATTATTTAACAAAGTAACTTAATTTGCAAAATACAATCTCATCTCATACATCTATAATGAGAACAATCAACATGATTTAAATGCCAGTTTTAATAATAGGAAAGACGCCTTGTGTCTGTTCCTAAATAACAAATTGATATAATTAAGCACTTTAATATGCATGTTGTGTAGTTGATCTCTATTTTAAGAAAGTGTTAGAAAACAATTCATATAATTTTGAATATTACAGCATTAGTGCTCTTAAAACTTCAAATTCTGTTGAACATGTAAAACCATTAATTAATCAAAATAAAACGAGATTTCTCACATTATTTTCATTTCTAACAACACTCCGAGAGACATTTATTATCTGCTCACTTACTTTTATAAGCTTCATCAGTCTGTAGCAAAAATATAATCAAGTTAAGCAATAATAATATAATTATCTTAAAAACACAAAAAACAAGGTTAAAAGTCACCTTTAAAACCACATAAAAGGTTTTTGCTCAATGTAACATACATATATTTTTAGCAAGAGACCGTCAAAACTTTTAAGACCAAAACTTAAAATGCTATGTGGGCCAATAGTCCAGGAGTATTTATACCAATTTCAAGATACTCTCTCTCACTATCAGAGGTATTCAATTTGCCTCTTTAAAATGTATGTTGACATTTAATTGCCTATATAATTTTACAAGTAGGTATAGTTTAATGACCATTCCATATTGAGCACTTAATCAAGAAAACATTATATGAGGAGCTGGCGAACAAAACGGTATATATCTGTATGACATACCTCCTTTGCACTGAGCTTTTGGCATGGTTTTTAATTTATAAATTTAGTAGTTTTAACATTTTTTAGGTGGTTTTGTTTGAGATTCAAATTCATTTGGCCCGAAAGCTCCGGACTATAATAAAAAGTGGTTTGACCAGATGCGTTATTATACCATTTTGTTCGCCAGCTCCTCATATACAATAAATAACTGATTATGATAATAGAAGGGAAACCTTGATAATATATACTATATTAAAATATCCAATTTACATTAATCTGGTTAAGGAGAAACATCAGGTCACAGCTTACATGGCACTCCATTACAATCCCAAAGAAATGGCTCAAACTTGTTCAAAATAAATGCTTGCGAGATTATTAGATTCAGAAATGTGAATCAATTTATGCAATAAAAAAATATTTAAATGGTTATACATAATTAAAGGGACTAGTGATTAAATTTTTAGCTACTTATTTAGGATTCCAAATTTCATTTTTAATAATGCTAGCTAAAATCACAATGGAGATTTATTAAATATTTACAAGTTTCTATAAATACCTACTGATTTGAGTTCGATACATGTTTTTCACAATTACTTATCCGTAAAAAAACTATTTTTGTTTAAAACTAAATAGAAATTTGTTGACATACATAGTCTGCCCTGATAAGCAGAAAAGCGGTATCTCAGTCAGAATAAGGTTTGAGAAAATCGCCTTTTAGTAAAGCTACAAAACTACTGCTACTGAATGAGATACCGCTTTTTGACTTATCAGGGCAGTATGCATGTTTGATGGTTAATGGTTTCCTAATCTCATCTCCTGGGTCACCTTAGTAGTGATATTTTACATATGGATCATTCCTGTTGCTAGTATTATGCTTTTCATTCTATAACCTAAATAAGAACTTGTGCTAATACAAATAGAGGTAGTTTTACTAAGAATTTATTACAAACAGGTGTTGGTGTATGTAAGCCTAGCCTAAAAAAATTACTCCATATAGGTAGGTAATGAAAATAGGGAATTCTCAATTTGGGGCTATTCTGAAAATGTATTATGCTATCAGGAATACCTCCAATTCATCAAAGAACTTTTAGATAAGAAAATAACAACCTTGATGGCATGTAGTTCTTTTTCGTCACACTTTTAAAAATGTATAAAGGCAAGGTTTTTTTTAAATGGTGGATGGTCACATTTATTTTTTGTGTAAGTGTCTGACCAAGTTATTCCACCCCACGAGATGTTAGGATTATGTGGAGTCGGGACGCGAAAATTGCTGGTGCAGCAAAAGCTTTGTGTTCTCATCTCCGCAGCTCCACCCGACTACCTATAGCCTGAATTTTGAATGCACGAGTTAGGAGTGTAGGTGACACACCAAAAATATATAAGAACCAATGTCAGGCATGTATTGAGAACTTCTAAAAATGATGTGTAGCACTGGTGGTAGACAAAACAGTCTCCGGTCTGACTCGCTCATAGAACAGCATGTAGGCAGAACACCGCAGCACTTCCTGTAAGGTCACCTCGTGTACCAGAGTATCGGAAGTGTACCACCATCTGAAAAACGTATTAAATATTTGTATGCTGCTAGGGAAAAATGGACGGAGGCTCTACATCCTTCTCGATGGTGCTAATAGTAAGCGCTCAGCCTTAGATCTTCGAAATAAAGTAACTTTTACAATGGTCGGTCAGACGGGACGGGATACCGTCTGAAACTAAGTTTTTTCCAAAAATATTTTTTGTTGACCTCCGTGGCCCAGTGGTTTGCACGCCGGGTTTGTGGTGGTGTCGCCTATTCGAAAGGTCCCGGTGAGGGCAGATGTTTGTGATAATGACAAGCATTTGTAATCGAGTCATGGATGTTCAATACGTCATCATCATCATCGGCCTATTAATGTCCCCACTACTGGGGCCGGGACCAAGGGTTTAACGTGCCTTCCGAAGCACGGAGGAACTCGAGATAGATTTATTGGTCACCCATCCAATCACCGACCACTGCGAAAGTTGCTTAACTTCAATGATCGCAGCCGAACGCGCTAACCACCTGCGCCAGCGAGCTCCTCTATAATTTCTATATAGAAATAAATTTAATATGTATCATCGACTATTTTATTTTTTCTTACAAGGGGGCGGGTGGGACTCGATAGTTCTTACGTAAAATTGCAAAAATGCTGCAATTATACTTTTACTTTGAAAAAGCGCGGGTGACCGCGCAAAGGTTCACTATATACGATTAGGTAAACGATATCCATTTCCATCTCAATTCTAAACGGACCCGAGCTCTTAGCACTGCGCGTTTTGAAAAATAAACATTAATACAAACCATACATGTATTCATTTTTCCTTTAGATTCTTACGTAATAAATATTAGACAGAGGGGAGGGGGTCAGAAAGTAGCCAAAATAATTTGACGTAATAAATGAATGAATGGCGCCTATCCCACAGCACAAACCTACAGTGATTTTTTGAGATTTGTGGGAGTGTTAGTAAATACCACATTTTTTGATGTGTAACATCTTTCCTTTCGCTTTCCTGCAATTTGTGGGAGTGATTTCGTGAAATGGGACGAAAGTGTGTAACAGGAAGTTGCGAAAGCGCGCGCTATGCGATTTGATTTTAAAACATAATGCTCAAATGGCTTATTCCTTTTGTAGTAGGTTTTATTTCTCTTTTTACTAATATAAGGTGAGGTTTCAAATGTTACACATCATACGCGACGTTTTTTTTTAAATTGAAACATCTCGCAGTTACATCTAATATTATTTATTTTTATATTATTTATTTTATTTATATTAAATTTAAATTATGTAATTTATTAAATTAAATAAATGATTAGGTGTATTTTTAGTGACATGTGCCTATTTCTATAATAATTGATTATGTATTATTAATATGATTATGAGTTATGTTGATCGAAATAAATGAATTTTATTTTTTTTAATATAATAAGAAGAATACAAAAGCCCTTGCTGTGTTTCTTGCCGGTTCTTCTCAGTACAAGGTCTCCCGCCGTAGATTGACGACGCGACGGCGCAGCTTCTAGACCATGTGTTCCGAACCTGGGGGTAATTACCCCTCCGGGGGTAAATCGGCCATACTTCGGGGGTAACTAAGAACCTAATTATTTGGTCAAATCTAAATAATACGAAAATACTATACAATAATACTAATAAATAGAGCATGCGCTCCTTCTTGCTAGCGAGCCCGCGGGGTGCTGAATGCTGGAAGAGGGTCGAGATTTTCTCCTGACGATGACATTATTAGAGACGAAGATGTAGCGGCCAAATTGGAAAATCTTGGACTGATGATAACATTTTAAAGTCGGGGTAAAATCTGTTTTCCTAATAGGTTACAGGGGTAGCAGTATTGGAAAGGTTAAGAAACACTGTTGTTGACATTGATGAGTGGTTTTTTGACGGGATTTATCGAGTGTGGTTGGCGTCTTATTTTAATTATTCTTAAATTCGTTCATAGTGGATATTGTGAAATAAAATTGGTGTGGTTTTGTGTAACTGAAAAATTAGCGGAATCTTTAAAATATACGCTATCCCGGTCAAGGGGACGTGAGAATTTTATTGTAGTGTTGACTACCTCACAGAAGCTTATCGAAAAAGCCAACTCGATACATTTCGTGCCAAACACTCCAAGAAACATTAGAATGCGTCACACCGAAATTCTAATGTAAAAACAAAAAGAAGATTAATTTAATTAAAGACCAGGCTGTATGGGCATTGTTCCCTTTGCCTTCCCTAAAACGGGAGAACTTCAACAAAAAATGTGTGCGTGTACTAGTGTACACACGTAAGAAGTGAAACTTCTTTATGGCCTAATTTTTTTCGAAAAATGATCTACATGCAACTTTCCAGAAATATATATATAGGCGTGCGCTAAGATTTTTTCAAAAACTCACCCACTAAAGGGGTATAACTACACCTTACCTTACCTTACCTTACCTTACCTTACCTTACCTTACCTTACCTTACCTTACCTTACCTTACCTTACCTTACCTTGTGTGAAACACGAATATTTGCTGTCGATACTTTTTTTTTTTTAAAGTTGACAGAAGAAGCAATTGTTCGGATGAGGTAAATAGTGCTCTTTTAAAAAAAAGATGGCGCGTAACCAAAAAACGTGACGCGTAACCGAAAAAAATGTGACGGTAAATTTTTTTCCAACGCCGATAAAGAAGTTTCACTTCAAAAAACATTGATGAGTGCTTGTAACAGCCTAAACTGAATAAATGATTATGATACCTCTTGGCCTCGAACCCGTTCCCCCGTCGATAGGTGGCGAAGTGTCCAGACCTGGGCCCTCCCACGTGGACTACGACCGCTGCTAAACGGTACGGAGCTCGGTCCCCGCTGTCTGCGCCTGCGCCGGCTTCAGCGTTGATTGCCGATATGCCGGTGCGCAAGCGACGCTCTCCCACCAACGATACTAGATCCAACTGCCAATAGGAACGGACAAACTGACAATAGGGGTGATGACGGGGTACAGTAAACGAAATTCTATTTAGTCCGTCAGTTAGATGATCAAAAAATAATGGACACATATTTTTTCTTTGGGCAATCAACCATAAAATTACAAAGTTTTAGCGCGTCAAAGTTTGGGAGTAGGGGCTCGTGACGTCACTTTTGAGTGAATTTTCACTTATAAGTGCACTCAAACGTGACGTCATGCGACTTTTCAGATCAATGTATCTCCGCAATGTTTTTATTATGTGAAAAAAGAAAAAATACGTGTCCAATACTTTTTGCTAATCTACCTGATAAACGAAGAAAAAAAAATTAGTCATCATCCCCATTCACCAGAATATTCTGTTCATAAATCTTCATAATTAATTAATTTAAATTTGTATTCATTGTAATGTATGATTTGTCGTTTTATTTATAAATTGAAATAATGTGACCTGCTGATGCGTTGGAACTAGTTCTGTAAATCAGCATGTTTATTGAATAAATAAAATAAATAAAAATAATAATGAGGACGACCTCTGTGGCCGAGTGGTTTACACGCCGGGTTTCATGGTATCGCCGACTCGAGACATCCCAGGTTCGAATCCCGGTGGTGAATGTTTGTGGGACTCACAAATGTAACATAGTTCAAAGGAAATTAAAAAAGCTCCTGATAAATACATACTATTACTCTATAGATCAGTACCTTACGTCTAAATAAATATTACAACGAAAAATATGTGTTAGAAAAAGTTATTGAAATGACAATAATTATAATATATTATTTTACGATTCTTAATTACTTAATTCGAATGTATGATTGGCTGATTTTAAAATATATAATATTTGTGGTCGATGACTATAGCTATGGGGGGAGGTATACCCTACCTTGGGCTGGGGGAGCTGCGCGTAGGGCGCCATGGAGAGGGTCTCGGGGAAGGCGACGTACTCGCCGCGCTTGCTGAGGGCGCCGCCCCCCACTCCGCCCGTAGATATGGGGGGAGGTATACCCTACCTTGGGCTGGGGGAGCTGCGCGTAGGGCGCCATGGAGAGGGTCTCGGGGAAGGCGACGTACTCGCCGCGCTTGCTGAGGGCGCCGCCCCCCACTCCGCCCGTAGATATGGGGGGAGGTATACCCTACCTTGGGCTGGGGGAGCTGCGCGTAGGGCGCCATGGAGAGGGTCTCGGGGAAGGCGACGTACTCGCCGCGCTTGCTGAGGGCGCCGCCCCCCACTCCGCCCGTAGATATGGGGGGAGGTATACCCTACCTTGGGCTGGGGGAGCTGCGCGTAGGGCGCCATGGAGAGGGTCTCGGGGAAGGCGACGTACTCGCCGCGCTTGCTGAGGGCGCCGCCCCCCACTCCGCCCGTAGATATGGGGGGAGGTATACCCTACCTTGGGCTGGGGGAGCTGCGCGTAGGGCGCCATGGAGAGGGTCTCGGGGAAGGCGACGTACTCGCCGCGCTTGCTGAGGGCGCCGCCCCCCACTCCGCCCGTAGATATGGGGGGAGGTATACCCTACCTTGGGCTGGGGGAGCTGCGCGTAGGGCGCCATGGAGAGGGTCTCGGGGAAGGCGACGTACTCGCCGCGCTTGCTGAGGGCGCCGCCCCCCACTCCGCCCGTAGATATGGGGGGAGGTATACCCTACCTTGGGCTGGGGGAGCTGCGCGTAGGGCGCCATGGAGAGGGTCTCGGGGAAGGCGACGTACTCGCCGCGCTTGCTGAGGGCGCCGCCCCCCACTCCGCCCGTAGATATGGGGGGAGGTATACCCTACCTTGGGCTGGGGGAGCTGCGCGTAGGGCGCCATGGAGAGGGTCTCGGGGAAGGCGACGTACTCGCCGCGCTTGCTGAGGGCGCCGCCCCCCACTCCGCCCGTAGATATGGGGGGAGGTATACCCTACCTTGGGCTGGGGGAGCTGCGCGTAGGGCGCCATGGAGAGGGTCTCGGGGAAGGCGACGTACTCGCCGCGCTTGCTGAGGGCGCCGCCCCCCACTCCGCCCGTAGATATGGGGGGAGGTATACCCTACCTTGGGCTGGGGGAGCTGCGCGTAGGGCGCCATGGAGAGGGTCTCGGGGAAGGCGACGTACTCGCCGCGCTTGCTGAGGGCGCCGCCCCCCACTCCGCCCGTAGATATGGGGGGAGGTATACCCTACCTTGGGCTGGGGGAGCTGCGCGTAGGGCGCCATGGAGAGGGTCTCGGGGAAGGCGACGTACTCGCCGCGCTTGCTGAGGGCGCCGCCCCCCACTCCGCCCGTAGATATGGGGGGAGGTATACCCTACCTTGGGCTGGGGGAGCTGCGCGTAGGGCGCCATGGAGAGGGTCTCGGGGAAGGCGACGTACTCGCCGCGCTTGCTGAGGGCGCCGCCCCCCACTCCGCCCGTAGATATGGGGGGAGGTATACCCTACCTTGGGCTGGGGGAGCTGCGCGTAGGGCGCCATGGAGAGGGTCTCGGGGAAGGCGACGTACTCGCCGCGCTTGCTGAGGGCGCCGCCCCCCACTCCGCCCGTAGATATGGGGGGAGGTATACCCTACCTTGGGCTGGGGGAGCTGCGCGTAGGGCGCCATGGAGAGGGTCTCGGGGAAGGCGACGTACTCGCCGCGCTTGCTGAGGGCGCCGCCCCCCACTCCGCCCGTAGATATGGGGGGAGGTATACCCTACCTTGGGCTGGGGGAGCTGCGCGTAGGGCGCCATGGAGAGGGTCTCGGGGAAGGCGACGTACTCGCCGCGCTTGCTGAGGGCGCCGCCCCCCACTCCGCCCGTAGATATGGGGGGAGGTATACCCTACCTTGGGCTGGGGGAGCTGCGCGTAGGGCGCCATGGAGAGGGTCTCGGGGAAGGCGACGTACTCGCCGCGCTTGCTGAGGGCGCCGCCCGCCCACTCCACTCGCCCCACGTGCAGGCACAGGCACCACGGTAACTGCACCATTACAAATTATCTTAGATTAAAACAAAAAGGGAAGATACGGTACGCTTATACTAGCATCAAATAAAGTATGATCTGACTGAACGACATAAGCAAGTCTCACACACGCACACTTCTGTAAATAAACATTCAATCGAGCGAGTGAGGCAGAATTGTACGCGAATTCAAGGCAGCGCGAACGAAACGGCGCCAGTACGCGTCGCTTTGCAGCTAACTGCGTTTTCTTTCGTCTCTGTACAAACGGCTGAGTTGTATTGTTGTCCTTATCTTGACAAAATTGGCGAATCAATAACTAACATTCATGGCAAACCGTGATTTTTGAGAAAAAATGTTTCAATAGTTTTACGAATGAAAAGTGTTGCCGTGGCATTTGTTATTTGATCTTGAACTAATTGTATTCATTATAGAAGCATCGAAGGCATTGTTTTATCTTTACAAGACAAAATATACAGGAGGCTGATCAGAGTAATTTCAATTTGTCACCGATTTCAATCGCAATAATTAACCACTAATAATGCTCTGCAAAAAATATAGAATTGCAAAGGGACTCATATTTTTCACCACATAATTTAGGCTGGGCACATATGTACGGTTTCCTGGTAAGGAATTTCCGATTCGTAGACATGAATGCACATACGAAATGTTCAACGAGGTGCACACAATTCTTATTTTTTCTGAATGGAAAAACCTTATGGAAAGCTCGAGTTATTAACGGAATCTATCTAATAAAAAAAACCGAGCGAGCCTAACAGTAGTTGCGTATGATGTGTAACATTTGAAACCTCACCTTATATTATTAAAAAAAGAAATCAAACCTACTACAAAAGGAATAAGCTATTTGAACATTATGTTCTTAAATCAAATCAAATAGCGCGCGCTTTCGCGACTTCCTGTAACACACTTCCGTTCCATTTCACGAAATCACTCCCACAAATTGCAGGAGAGCGAGAGACAAGATGTTACACATCAAAAAACGAAATGTCTGCGCTAGGCTTACGGAATTCCGAAGTTCATATGCGTCCATGCTTATTATTATTCAAATAAGGCAAGCTCGGTTTTCATACAATTTGAAAGCACAAACATTACCTTCTAAAATTTATATCTGTGGCAAACATCTAAAATGCTAGCTAAGCGAGTAGTATAAGTCGCGGCACGAAACTCTAGCGCTGACCGTTATTGCGCAGAAGTTAAAATTAAGATGTGTTGGGGGGAAACGAAGTGCGCGGGTGGTCGCGCCCTGTGCCGATTGTCTCTCCAGTCCAGTGTTTCCAAAATGAGGGGAAATTCCCCTTTTAAGGGGAAATCTGGGTCCAGAGGGGAAGAAAAAGGGGAAAGACATGGGAAATTGCGGGAAATCATGGGTAAAGCCTAGCCTAAAATAATGCGGCACGGAACAAATTTTTTATGGACCGTGGACTAGAGTGTTGCCGTATAAAAGAAACTGTGGCAACACGTGCAGATTTTATATATTTTATTTATCTGTTATAGAATAAGATAGTTTAAGACCTTTTTTTTCTTCAGTTACTACACTAGTGCAAAATCTAAAAAGCAAACAGCAGAATAATTTTTGAGGGGATAAATGTCCTAAGAAGGGGAAGTCTGAATTGAGGCATGGGGAAAGGAAATCATGGTAACACTGCTCCAGTCGTTCCCGTTCGAAGCTATCCCTGACGCGTTTTGTTCAGCGCTAGAGTTACGTGCCACGACCTGTACTGCCGTCCTCAAGCTAAAACGCGGCTAAATAACAAAACGGCATGTAAAATTTAAATTATTGCTATTTTGCAACCATTCATCATTGGACAGATTTTTAGACATAAAATAAAAATTATACGAATACTTGTTAAAGACAGATCGGCAGAGAATTAAAATCTGTATAAGGTGCAATTTAAGACTAAATAATCGACCACATGTCTCTGAGCCGCACTTTAGTTTGAGCACGGCAGTTTAGGTATACGTACCTTCCCGAAGCTGACGGTGCGTATGTGCTTGGTATAGGCGGAGGCGGGCGGCGCGGGCCCGTCGCTCTCGGGGCAACACTTGCTGCAGCGCACGCCCTTCACCATCTCCGGCGCCGTAAACGCGCGCAATAACCCTATTTGCACACATAAACGATATTAAAACCTCCAGATATACACCACGAGCGCTCCAAATGTGTCCTAATCAAGACGTGCTTGAACGCCACGCGCGGAAGTTAACATGCCGCTGTTGAAAAGTTAACATGCCGCAGAGCTTTGCGAAAAAATGCGAATAAAATGCATATAGTATTGTGTCGTTCTATCGACAGGTATCAAATCAATGTTTGTTAATTTAACGCTTGTAAAGCAAATTTTGTTCTAAAAACAGTATTAACTGATTTATTAAAAAGTATTATAATAATCAAATGCACGACCGATTATGTAGTCGTGTCTTTCCCTCGAGCTTCATGCCTGCTATATTGCTAACAGCGCGTTCAGAATTACGATTTAAAGTTATCTTGCATTTCAATCATTTCAACAGTTCAATAACTGTCAAATTTTTTGGTGAAGGACCAAAAACCTATGTTAACGAACCAAGCAGTTACATGCTTAAAAAATAAAAATTGTAACTATAATTGCTATTTCTTCTTTCAAATGTTTAATACTTGTAAAAGTATTCATCTGACATTGTGGTTTACTTATAATGCGAAGAAATGGAGCGCCTTGCAGCTTAAGAATGGCTAGAAGAATTTCGACGCGGCCATCAGGGCCGCGGTAGTATAATTGGTCAACCTATGTTAATGTTTGATGGAACACAAAAATCATTAACAGTCCTTGAAAAGCTGTTATATGAATAATAACAATAAATATAATAAATATTTCCAACACTCACACCAATTAGCCTAGCCCCAAAGTTAGCACTGTAAGGCTTGTGTTATGGGATGCTAGGGTAACGGATAGAATACATATACTGATACATATATAAGTACATTTATATAGAAATACATATTAAACATCCATGACTGGAGTACAAATGCTCGTATTCATCACACAAACATCTGCCCCCACCAGGATTCGAACCCGGGAGCTCTCGAGTCGGCGACACCATGAAAGCCGGCGTACAAACCACTCGGCCACGGAGGTCGTTATAAATTTTTAGACATCATAATTAACTCGGATACACTACATAAATTAGCTAACGATACGTTGCCAAATTTCCTGCCTTTCATAATACAGGTCTTACCTAGCATGAAAGTCAGGGGTCCTACTTATAAGACTATAAGATAGCAAACCATTCCTTATTTATTTTAAGATGATAATGGTGTCGATTCCGGCATGATTCTCTAAACCTAAACTTAAATTTGACAACAGTGTATCCTTGTCATTTTCTATGCAGAATGAAAAGGAGAGATTGATGTTAAATTTAGTTTTAAGATTAAAGAATCATGCCAGAATCGACACCAATGTAGTAGTACTTGTAAGGTTTGATGAATAAACATTATTATTAAAAAAAATATATATATAAGTGAATAGCAACCCACTCACCTGACAAGCTGTACGTGCCGGTGAGCCCCGTGCTCGCGTTAGCCATCGACAACGACACGCTGTCGAACTTGTCGTATCGCACCGGACTCTGCCACCATCAACAATCTAATTATCACGAGTTGATGGATTGCAAATATTTAAAATCCAATTAATTTTTAAAAACCTTGATTTTTATTCTTAAAACCACACCAGGAGCACAAACAAAATTAGCTTCGCTATGCACATGCCACAGCGTCGCAATTTTTCATAAGAGAACATAACCATACTACCTGACCAGTTTAGTTTGAGGAGCTCAATGGCGCAAGTGGTTAACGCGTTCGGCTGCGATCGTTGAAGTTAAGCAACTTTCGCAGTGGTCGGTCATTGGATGGGTGACCAAAAATGTACTATCTCGAGCTCCTAAGTGCTTCGGAAGGCACGTTAAGCCGTTGGTCCCGGCTGCATCTGCAGTCGTTAGCACCCACCAATCCGCACTGGGCCCGCGTGGTGGGTCACGGCCCAAACTCTCTATTCCATCCATAGAGAAGGCCTGTGCCCCAGCAGTGGGGACATTAATAGGCTGATGATGATGACCTGACCAGTTAAGGGGCGGAGAGAGGTCTTCAAACTACAACGCTTGGTCACGGTAATATTATCTATACAGTATTCTATCTTCATACAAACGGTCGGAAAGCGTGTCATACCTACGCCACTCGAGTTCGCGCGGCACCCGGTGGGCATCCAGTCGCGAATGCGCCGCAGCGACGACCGAACGATGTGAATGGCTTTTTAAGCAGTTAGCCGTGCTTAAACGTGCGATTTGTATTGTGAATATTTTGATTAAATTAAGTAGATACCTACATAATTTAATATGGCAAAGAGCAATAGTCGATATTGTGCTGTTTTTGGTTTTGCTTGAACTCTTCAATAACGCACCCAATAAAAAAAACACATCAATTGTAAAGTAGCTGCAGGTATATTATAACCAAGTTTAAGATATTCCCTTTTCTGCTCCTTACCAATGTTTCCCTAAAGTATTTTTAATTAAACTTTTTATACGAATGCGTATGTATTATACTATTAAATTTAATAATAAAGCTTTTCGTACGTCTCAGTCGAGCCGTAAATATTTTACTTGCTCAAATCTACAATTCCTTTTTATTAAATATTACCTAAAAATAACACTTCCTAATACATTCAAAACAATTATTTTTACATATAAAATAAAATATTTACAATCACAAAACTAGAAAGAAACTCAATTATGTAGATGAAATTAAAATACCGAAGGCGGGCAGCCCTACCGCGTGTTTGCGTCCCGCTCGACCGTAGGCAGTTATTTCAAGGACAGGGCCGAGTCAAAATACTGTATAGATAATATTACCGTGGCTTGGTTAAGCATGCACTCTTGACGTCACGCGACAAACGCCATATCAATAAAGATATATATGAAATAATTTGTTTGCTTAATTTCTGTGTGCAAAAAAATATTTTGGCAATACTACCTACGGATGGTCAAAGAGGGGGTAAGGGTATAAAAAAATCAAAAATGGGTCACGTAGTATGGGGGTGTTCCCTTAGTTACACAGCTGAAATAAGAACGTTAAATGACGCCTTGCGAGCCAGACGAAGTGGAGCGCCGATTTTATAAAAATCTTTTCATTTTAAGTGTGAACCGATTTCGCTTACTATGCGTTTCAAATAAGAATAGGAAAGCCAATGACCTCCATCTGTCAAAAGTCGCTTGAAAAGTACGATTCGCAAAAAAATCTTGGAACACTTTTTTTAGCAAGGACTTTTACCAATATTATCTTCTTTTATCCTATAAAATTAAATATAATTATGCAATGCAATAAAATTGTAATATTAAAAAATAAAAAGTTTGAGAGAAATTTACTTTAAATGGATAGGTCGAAATTAATGAAAAAAAAGAATACTCGGGCGCCAGACCCATACCATATTATTAAACCATATTAGCCGGGAAAGCAATGAACTATTAATCACAAGAGAAGGCTTGATTGCAAAACCATATTCATTTTGGGTTGTCGATTTATTTAAATTTACTACAAAACTACTTAAGTCCAAAAGGGTTATTGCTAAATTTAGAAACTACTTAATATACTATGGCTACTAAAATGTACATGAAAATTTTACCTTATGGGTTCCGGTACAACAATGAATTTGGAAAGTTACCGAACTTGTTGCATCTGTGTAGTAGCTATGTCTGGTGTCAATTGTAATATTAAATGGATGTCGCTGTTACATCACGGGACTATTCACTTTCTCATCATGGGAAATGTTGAAAGTTCATTATAAAATCCAAAATAAAAAAAAAAACGCTTTTCGCGTTTTTTAAACAAATTAAGCTTGGAATGCGATATCCGCCATTCCGATCAAAAGCTGCAAAATGTTATATCATCAAAAACAATTGAAAATCCAATGGATTATCATGATAAAAATTAAGATTTAGAATTTCACATGTTCCTCGTAAAAATTTTGGTCATGAAGTGAAGTGACAGTTCTTTTCTTAGTTTGTCTTGGCGGTAGGCAAAGAGAACAATGTCCATTCAGCCTACTGCTTGATAAAGACAGAAACACACTTACCCAAAAGTGCACAGATTAAAGAAAATGGGCGCGAGATAAAAAACGACCAAAGAGACAACCAAAAAAAATCTTCTATCTCGCTCTTCGAGCGAAGGAGATCCATGTGACGTTTTTAACACGTTACATTTCACCCTTCCCCGAATAAAGCATCGAGAATCGAGGCTGAAAAAACTACAGCTAAAGTCCAAATACTAAAAGCCAAAACGAAATCCGTTGAACTATGGATGAAAACGAAAACCCAAAGTGAAAAGAAAATAACTTCAAATAAAGTTATCCAAATACCAAAACATCATCAAACTATAGAGTCCTTGGACAAAAAGTCACAAGTCTCAAAACAAAAGCTGTTGAACTAAATTAGTCACAGACCCAAAATTATTAAAAACCTAAAGCAAAATGCTCTAAAATAAAAGTATGCAAAGCTTACTACAAAAAAAATTCAACCACTATCATCATCATTATTGAGATCTGTCGAACATAAAAAGTCGCAGACTCTAAAAAATCTCTAAATTCAAACTACTCTAACTAAACCCTGGTGAGATCTGTTGGACATCTAAGTCGCAGACTCTAAAATTTCCTAAACTAAAACTCCTTCAAAACCTAAACCCCTGTGAGATCTGTTGGATATTAAAATCGCAGACTCCTAAAATTTCTTAAACTACTACTCTACTACTCTTAACATTAATTTCTGAAGGTCTGTTGGACAACTAGGTCACAGACAGAAAACTACAATCTACTCCTACTACCAACTCTTGTGAGATCTGTTAGACAACTATGTCGCAGACTCTGAAAAATCCCACCCCAGTGCTGCTATACTAAAAAGTCGCAAGTACCATTAGTTAAATCCCCAAAAAGTTCGAGATTAGTGGCAAAATTGACACAAACTCATTTAAGTCACAATCATGGTCGGCACAACACCACCGGCTTTCCGAACATGATGTGCAAAAGGCGTCGAGAACAAACAGTTCGACAAAAAAAATGTAGTGACGAAAGTCAAAACAGCAAAAAATTTGGCGAAAACCAAAACGTGACATTCATGGCCGACTCAACACCAACGACTTTCCGGACATGAAGCACCCAAAACAAAAGTTGTAACTACATGATCGGCACAACTCCACCGAACTCCCGAGCATGAAGCACAAAAACAAACAATTGATGTCCATAAATATGGGCAAACAAAATACCAAAACAATATGGCAAAACCAAAAAAAGCGTCAACAATGTTGAACAAAAAGTCGAAATTGCAACTTCATGATCGGCACAACTCCACCGAACTCCCGAACATGATGTGCAAAAACAAAACAAATGATGTCCACAAATATGGGCAAACAAATTACCAAAACAAAGTGGTAAACCAAACAAATCGTCAAAAATATTGAACGAAAAAAGTCAAAATCATGGATGTCAAATCCAAGGAAAAAGTAGGGATCCCAAAATGTCAAATCCGGGTGTAACAATTATCACACACACAAACTTCTACACAAAACAAATTGTTATAAAACAACAAACATGCAGAAACACAACTATAGTACTAACAAATAAGTTTGTACAAAAATAACAAATGAGGACATATAAAATCCTAATAAAAAATGTGTCCATACAGATAAAACATCTGCATGAAACAAAAGGTTATAAAATCTTATGATGCAGAAAATAAGTAGGCATACTACGTAAATTTAAATTTTACAAAAAATTTCAAAGTCAAATAATTTAATGGCAAAACTTGAATTTAATAAAAACCAAAAAGTCAATGAGTAAAGTCTAATGTATTTGAGTAATATCACTTTCTTTCATCACCTTCCAAGGGCAACAGTACATACCTCACGCAAATAAATCAACTTTCAAATGCCCAGATCACCCAAGTCACAAAAGCCTAAAACCCAAAGGTTTGTTTATGTAACAAAACTAACCAAACAACAGCTAAGCAATCTAAATTTTCAAAATGTCTTTAACATGGTAACGATCAGAAGTACCTTTAACCAAATCTTTCAAAACATAAACATTATTCGAGATTTTATCAATAATCTTACATTTAATAAACTTCGGAGCTAGTTTTGCCGAAAAATAATGAGCAGCACTAGATTGAACAAAATTCCTCCTCCAAACAATATCACCTACATCATAAGAAGTGACTTCACGACGCTTGTTATAATAAGAAGCATTACGTTTATATGCTTTAAATAAAGTTCCAGTAACTTTAACAAAAATACTTTCAAGTGAAGAAAGTGAATGAGCAAAAGCAGAACGGTCAACAAGATCGATCTGTGTTAAATTATCAAAGGAATTACTAAAACGGTGCAATGACGCATCAACAATTAACTCCCTACCAAACATTAGGAAATTCGCAGTGAACTCCGTAGCCAAATTAACACTACTATTCAAAGCTAACTGAACATGTGGAAGAAATTTCGACCAAGTTCTATGATCATCACGAACGAAGCAAGAAATGCAAGTTTCAACCGTTTTATTATAACGCTCCACTGGATTATTCTGAGGCGTATATAAAGT